CTGCATATAGTAAACTAGAAAGAAAAGTGTAAATAAGACAAGACCAAGACCTCGTCCGGGTGGTGGCGATCTTCGGGAGCGGAAAAGCGGCGATGGGCGATGGGCGATGGGCGATGGGCGATTCCGGCCAGGCAAAAAAAAAAGGTGCGAGGAAATTGCGACGCGGCGGTCACCACGGCTTGCCTGCCTGCTTGCCTCCCTTCTCTTTCCATAGTCCCTCTCTCTCTCTCCCTCCCTCTCTTTCTCTTGTCCTTTCTCTGCATCCTCTCTTTCATCAACCAAACCCTCCCTGGGATTCTGGTACTGGCACGGATGAAATACACCGTCCAAGCCTTCGTTTCTGTCGACTTGTGGTCGCTCTCTAGACGGCATTGTTCGTGTTCGGGATGAGGGCGGTGCTCCGCATCCCGCTGCGGGCTTCCAACAATTTTGATCCCGCGGTGGTCATACGATCCAATCTTGCCCACCTGAACCCCCCCTTAACTCGTCTGTCGACTCCTCCTATTACTTCTCGTTTGCTCTCCTCTGCAACTACACGCCCTTTGGCAACTCAGCGACGCCGTATCGGCGATCAATCACTATCACTACCGCCGTTTCCTACTCGGAATGCAGCCACCTCCGCGACCTCGGGACGGAATGACACGAGGCAGTCTGGACCAGGGAAATCGCACAACAGAGTACTCAGATATGTTGTGATCGGTGGAGCTATCGCCATTGCGGCTGTAGCATACTCGGATGAGGTTCAGCACTACTACCGTGCGGCAGCGCGCACTGGACGAGTCGTCGGTGCCCTCGCTATCTGTATCAATGAGTGAGTATACCAGATCTTCTTCTTTCAGCACCAAGTTCCAGTAGGGCAGGCTTACTCACACATGGTCGCAATCAGTTACCGTGTTACCCTCAAGCAAGAAACGTCCACCCCTGGAGAACGGGACCAAGCGATACGGGCCTGTCACAAGCGTTGCGCGGACCGCACGCTGCGTGTTCTCGAGCAGAATGGATCGATCTTCATTAAACTAGGACAACATCTGAGCAGTATGGGATACTTGCTGCCCTTGGAATGGACGACAACCTTCATTCCTCTTCAGGATAAATGCCCCGTTTCGTCCATCGAGTCCGTTGAAGCAATGTTCGTGGCTGATACTGGTCGTCGTATCGATGAGATCTTCTCATCCTTCGACCCACAGCCTATCGGGGCCGCTTCTCTCGCCCAGGTGCATGTTGCTACGCTCAAGGAAACCGGTCAGAAAGTCGCGGTCAAGGTGCAACATCCTGCATTGGCAGAGTGGGCGCCGCTTGATTTGGCATTGACTCGATTCACCTTTTCGACGTTGAAGCGCTTCTTCCCGGAATACGATTTGGAATGGTTGTCGAAAGAGATGGACCTGTCTCTGCCACAAGAATTGGATTTTCGGATGGAAGCTGAAAATGCTATGCGGACAAAGGAATACTTCAAGAAGCATTCAGATGCCCCACTAGTTATTCCGGAAGGTGTGTCATCTAAGTACACATGTGGCCGAGTCGATTGGCGAACTAACACAACTATTAGTGATGTGGGCCCAGAAGCGTATCCTCGTTATGGAGTTTCTTTCCGGACGACGACCCGACGACCTTGAGTTCCTGGATTCCAATCACATTGACCGGGATGAGGTTTCCGCCGCATTGGCACATATCTTCAACGAGATGATTTTCGGCACCAACGCTCCCTTGCACTGCGATCCACATGGGGGGAACATCGCTATCCGTCCCAACCCCAACGGTCGACGTCACAACTTCGATATCGTACTTTACGACCATGGACTCTACCGGGACATTCCTCAAGACCTGCGTCGCAACTATGCAAAGCTCTGGCTGGCGGTGATCGAAGCCGATGAGTCGCGCATGCGGGAGTCCGCGCACAAAGTTGCCGGTATAACGGATGAGCAGTTCCCTCTCTTCGCCAGCGCCATTACTGGACGAGACTACATGGTTCTCAAGAAAAAGGACATCACTTCCGCCCGCACGTCCGCGGAGAGGGAGAGCATGTCTGGTGCACTCGGTGAAGGCATGTTGCAACAACTCGTCGAACTGCTGGGCCAAGTTCCTCGTATCATCCTTCTGATCCTCAAGACAAACGACCTGAGTAAGTCGATGATGTTCTTCCTGCTAAGCATGGCTACATGATTCTAACATATCATTTCAGCCCGCAGTCTCGACGAAAACCTGCAAACTCGCCAAGGGCCCATCCGCACGTTCCTCATTCTCGCACGATACGCAACCCGCACCGTCTTCGAGGAACAAATGGAAGCCGTTTACGAAACAGGCGGCGTTCTCCGTCCTTCCAACTTCTGGCGTTTCCTTTGCGCATGGACCGGCTTCCTGCGCGTGGAACTGAAGCTTTCTGTCTACGAGGCTCTCCTATCACTGAAGAGCCGCTTTGGGTTGGTATAGAGCAACGTATTTTAATCCCTCTGTACAGTCTACTACACCTCGTTCCGATTCACCTGCATCCTTCCACCTCGCACCGCGAGAGCCCGCCCTCGAGCTTTCAGAGTAATATGCTGTAGAGGTCGTCTTGCAGCTTCGCACGATTTGTGCATTTCTATGGCGTTCAACCCCATCCTCCTTGTTTTGTGGTTTTCTGTGCATCTTGGTCCGTGATTTTGGCTCGATAGACTATCTCCTTGAGAAAAGCTAGGTGTATATTTAGTGGCTCATATAGTATAGAAGGTATGGGTAGATTTCTTGTTTCATGCAAGCACGGGGATCCTCAATGTTCAGGTGTCAATTATCAGATGAAGCATACCATGGATGGATGGATGAATGATGATGTCAGTCCGCACTACGTAAATTGTGGCGAATCAGATAAATCCCGCTGCAGTCATTTCATATAGAAACCGAAGGGGAAAACGGTGCAGGTATGGAAGTATTGATATATATTGTAGCAATCACCGAGTCAACTTAATCACAATGACCTGTCTTGTCTTGCCTTGCTTAGCTGGGAGAGTAAAGCTCCCAAAAAAGAAAAAAGAGAAATAAAAGACACAAAAATTGCTGTACAGTATTGAAGTGAAGAAACAGATAACTCCGTCCCAGATCCACAATCAAGAAAAAGAAAGAAAAAAGCGAACGTATTTGTCCCACATAGCTGCTGCTTGTTTTGTTTTTCTTGTCTCTCACAATTTGAAAGAGGAGACAAGAACCATTAGCTTGCGGCGGTCATTACTCAACGTCCATCATTTATTGCTCAGCCTCCAATTCCGATGGGTCGGGAATAAAAAAAAAAAACGACGCAAGGAGAATAATTCGTATCATGGTATCGCCTTTTTTTTCTTCAAATTGTTTTTTCTTATTATTTTCAATTTTGTTCGGACTTTTGTGTCATATTTAGGCGACAGGAGCCGCCTTCTCGGGCTGAGCATGGAGGTCCGGGATAGAAGCACCAGTACCCGCCAGGTTGGTCTTGACAGCCTTGGGGTTCTTGGTGTAGTAATCGGAAATGGCGGACTTGATGGCATCCTCGGCGAGCATGGAGCAGTGCACTGAAGAGAGGGGTAAACGGGTTAGTTTGGGGGAAAGGAAAACTTGATGACCATGATGTCACATTTTCGAAGGCTGACAGGGAAAGGCAAGCAGGAGACCGAAGGGGAAGAGCAGCGGAGAGGGGAGGGAAGTGAAACATACACTTGACAGGAGGCAAGCACAGCTCCTTGGCGATATCAGTGTTGCGGATCTTGGCGGCCTCGTCGAGGGTCATGCCGCGGACCAACTCGGTCAGGTAGCTGGAGCTGGCGATGGCGCTGCCGCAGCCGAAGGTCTTGAACTTGACGTCGCTGATCACGTTGGTGTCCTTGTCGACGCGGATCTGGAGCTTCATCACGTCACCGCAGGCCGGGGCACCGACGAGACCCGTGCCGACGTCGACGCTCTTGGCCATGGAGCCCACGTTGCGGGGGTTGGAGTAGTGGTCGAGGACCTTCTCGTGGTAGCCCCGGCGCTGCTGCTGGAGAGGGGACGGGGTGGCCGCCGCCCGCAGGCTCGAGGTCTGGGTCTGCTGCACGCTGGCGACGGCGGGGGCGTTGATGCGAGGCGAGAGAGCGCCCGCGGAGCGGGGAGCGACTGTTACGAGACGGCGGAACATTGTGGTGGTTATGTGAGAGGCGAGGAAAAAAAGAAGAGAAAGGGTATCGTGCAATAGGTTGTTGGGAAGATATGGTAATGGTTTTGAGCAACAGAAGTGGTGGTCGTTGATGAGGTTGGGCGAAGGAAAGGGTTGATGAATTGAACGGCGGCGAGGTGTGTGATGAAAGATTGATAGTCGATGATTGATTTGATGGAGGGAGGGAAAGTTGAACTACTACTAGCTTAGTCCGTCCGTCTTATTCACCGGCGCTAATCCCTTTCCAGAAACCCCGTTGCCTCCGCGGACCGGCTTCGGAGATACGAGGAAATGCGGTCTTCGGAATGACGTTCGCTCCCCCTTTGCTGCGGCTAAGAAATAAGTACAGGAAGTGCAGTACAGGGAGATTGAGTGAGTGACTGACTGTTGATTCATAGTGTTGGAATCCTTTCTTATCGCGGCGTTGCTGCGACTGGATTGCATTCGTACCAAATAGTGTCTAGTGTCTACCTAGTAGTTACTGTATGTACTGTACTGCCCAAGTGCCCGCGGGAAGAACAGTTCGTTCTAGTCTGGTTCTGGTATGGCGGGCACTTCGGCCAACGGGAACGGTCTGCAGGCGGCATTACCAAGCACTCAAGGTCTCGTCCCCCGGTTCCCGATGGTTACCGCTCGACTAGTTATCGTCCTGGCCTTCATCTGATAATTTTGCCCACTGCTTTCCAGTTTCCAGTTTCCAGTTGCCACTTCCCACCTCCGCCCTCTGTTTGTCTACGTCTACCTCGGAACAACCCTGGCCCCGGCTACTATTCCCCCGAAAGCCTGTCCACACTAACAACAAATCGTGGCCGCTGAACAGGCTACGTGCTGCTCATACAGTTGACTATCAAAACACCCACCCTTCCTATAAGCATTCCAACATAATGGCCGGAAAGACACTAGGCCGATCGTCGGGGGTAAGTTGACAGGCGTGTAGTCTAGTCATTATACTCGTACTTTTTTATTCCCCCTCTGGTCTCCTCACTCCATACTTCCCTCTTGTATGAGAATGACTAATCTACCACCACCACCACCACCACAACAACATCAACCCTATCTGACCATGTATCGAATCTCCAGTCCCTCAACGCCCCCATAGCCGCCTTCACCATGGCGGTCATCCTCTGCTCTTACTGCATCAGTTCCATCCACACTGCCCGTCGCGAAGCACAGTCCTCTCCCCCCATCACTAGCACCACAAATCCCCGTCCCAAACGGGCGGACGCTCAACAATCCTGGGTCCAGCAGGCTTTGGAGGAAAGCCGGGGCGGCAAGGACTCTTGATTCGCGCGCATGAGACTCAATTGCTCGATATTCAAAATCTTACAGAAGAGAAGAAGAGCTACAGGCTACAGCTGGCTGGTATGCCTTGGATGGGTCTTGTTTTGTAAATAAATTTGTGCTTTTGCATTGTTGTGTCTCTATGTGACAGAAGAGATATATATCCTCCAGGCCGATCAGCCTTGCATGAGTAAACAGAAGCTGTGTATCTGGGACCTGGCCCAAAGACAACAGTCAACAGCTTCCACCATCAGGATTGCTCAGCAGAATCGCATCAATCCAAGCCCAACCGACGCCCCGAGGCAGAATATCCATGAGTCAGAATTTTCAGTGTATGAATAGTCATATCCCAGGCCTTATGAAGACTACCAGGATCTACCATTTGAAAAATGTTCATCATGTCGATGGATAAGTGTGCTGGAGGATAAGGGAGGACTGAACGGTCGCTGCGACCTGACGTCTGGGAAACCGAGTCATTCTGATGAGGCCTTCATCGAGGCCTGTTGAATGCTGGGGAATAATGGCATCATGATCATTCCAGATTCAATGCTAAGGAGTGGCGCGCGGTCACTCCATAGTAAAGCATTCCGGATTATAGTGTGGCGATCGACACCTCCGTTGAAGCGCTTGCCTCCATCATGGCAGTGTGGCCCAACAGAGTAACCTGAGCAAGAATACGAGCATGGAAGAAAGGGAAAACTTTTCGAAAAGTCGCAGCGGGATGTTTTAGTGCGTGCATCACGTGACTACACCGCTTACAGGAAATATCATCTTATTGGCTGGCTGGTTGACGATATACGATTCAAGCATTGCGCTATAGTGGCCTAGTACTTGGGTCCTGGAAGGTTAACCCAAGGAGCTGATATTGGCACAGACCATCTAGTATAAGGTTGGAAAGAATAGAAGAATGTGACAGAGAGGAAAGTGTTGTACGACAGACTATATACAATTGCATTGATGACTTATTCTGTTCATGAAAGGGAAGACGCTCAGTACCACAAAATGGCGAACCACAAGAATAGTAAACAATCGAAGCTTCACATGTCAGGGCCTGTCACTTTACCCCGGCACCACCATTGATACAAGGCCGAGGTATCATCCATAGAACAATGTGTAACGTGGAAGCAGGCCAATAAAAGAGCCTTAAATCTCTTCAATCATCAATGGCCTGACAAGCGGCAAGCAGCAAACACGATCATCCCTCCGTTGCATGTCCCCGTAACAATACTTTAATGATCTAGTAATTTATAGCGCATTAGAAGAGTCGCTGGCTTTGCCCTCTTGCACTTCCAGCTTCAGCTTTCCTTCATGTTGTATATGCGAAATGGCCTTCCGGAGATATTCATAGGTAAGCATGGTAGTCATCGCAGCCGGTACAGCACGGAACAAATTCGTGCCAATTCCAGAGTAGAATGCACGCCAGCCTTCTTCCCTGAGAATCGTCTGGCAAGTGCGGATAATTCCCGTGTATCGCGGCCGATTGGGCATTCCGTCCGAGGAAGCCGCGCCTGGAGGGCGACCACGATCCGGAGGATGGTCCAATCCACCTCGGAACGCGATTTCCTCTGGGGAGGATGCTGGAGACGTCCGCTGCTGAGTCTGAAGTCTCGTCCGAAGCACTTCGTGCGGATAGGTGACGGTGCTAGCGCAGACCTTGCTGAGAAAAGTGGCGGCAGTGATTCCGATCCAGTGAGAACTGCCGTTGTCAGGATGCTCCCCGATCCCATATCCGGTGAAAGCCATCTTCAAGTATTCGTAGAGAGGAAATTGAATGGCAACATGCGTCAAGCCTAATAGCGCCGGCGTGAGTCCGGAATAAAATGAGCGAATCCCTTCAGTCCTGTACATCTTCCGAGCGGCATCCCAAGTGCTGTTATACTGCCACGGGGCCCGAAGCCCTTCACTGCTAGATTTAAGGCTTTGAGACATAAGTCGCGTCTTGATGACCCAGATTGGGTTCGTCGCAAGTGTAGAGCAGGCGCCAGCTGTCAGAGAAGCGTACCCTCTGGAAAGCCACCAGCTGTCTATTGAATAAAGTCAGCAGCGTCAATCAGTACAAATAGAGAACTCTCTTACCAGTAGTCTCGTAGAAATATTCCCGGGAACGATCGTAAACAGCCAGATAGACAGCCCACGTCGGAAGGTATCCCAGCAGCATGGGACCCAGTCCTTGATATAAACCTCGAATTCCATCCTCCCGCCAAATTACCCTTCCAGTACCAAGCATGCCCCGATACAGCTCCTTCGTTTCGACCGCCTTGCCGCGCCGTCGTGCGAACCCACCTTGAGCCTGCAGTTTGGTCTTGATCACATCCAAGGGACAGGTGACAATACCCGACGCTACACCCGCACTAGCTCCACAGAAGGGTGTAATCCAAACATCAGGTATGCGCGTGGAGATCATCTCGAGGCGATCAACGAAAGTCGAGTTCGTCAGCATGGGAGGCGGTGTATCAGGCGTAGAGGGTGATGCAGGACCCTGCTGCTCTTGAGAACCGCTGGCGGCATCCGAAGAGCCATGTCCTTCGGAATACATGTTCGCAGCCGGTGCGCAAGCAGTTATTGGTTCGTTTTATATGTCACCGAGGGTTCCCGGATCCGAGCATATCGGTGCTCGCTCCGGAACCCAGTATGATCCTTTATCAAATCGTGGTGGAATGCGGAAGAATGGCGTCGTTGAGAGCACGGGCGACGAGATAGCGACACTCGAACTGATGAAAACGCTGATGACACCCCTGTAAGCCGAGGCTGCCCAGCGATTGCTTTGATGCGTTGCGAGGTTACCCTGTCGGGGGCACAGACGGGGGCGGGGTCTGGAAGATCGACTCAACGCTCCTATCGGAATGGCAGAACCTTTCAAGTGAAAATATATTCAGCGAGTGATGATCCCCATGCCTAGCGAGCAATGTAGATTCCAGGGCAATGAGCATAAAAGCCAGTAACTCAAGTGGGAGTAGGGAACTTGAAAGACACGGAAAAGGACGGAGTCGTGTGGGCGAGATGAATTGAATTGCGTTAGTTAGCAGCAACGCTCGCTCTAAGTCAGGTGGAGTAAATCCACAATAGACCGGCACCAAGCGCCGTTAGAGCCTGAGGCACCGACAGTTCACCAGGGTGTCGACAGGGATGGTCGGGGGACCTATCACGTGGGACATATTATGGACAAAATCGGACAATTCTTGGTGCCTCAGGCGCAAAATCGGATGTTTTTGGGAAAGTTCACCCGCCGACGGAACCTCCGTTTTGCACAATCTCCAACGTCGGGTCATCCGTCTCCTGCTAAGCTTGCCTTGACATCTCGCAGTCCTCCCCCGCCAACACCACCTTGTCAATTGGACTTTCTCACGCCCGCTGCTGGGATCTATCACAATGTCCGCCCCTTCCATCACCAACTTCATCGTCAAGCGCCCATGGCTCAAGCGCTGGATGACGCCACTCGCCCAGTGGTACACCGACGCCGCCGGCTACAGAAGACTCGGTCTTAAGTAGGTGTCCTCGCCATTCAATCTGCTCAGACTGGCATTCGATGTATTCGGTATATAGCGGTGAAAGACTCCGGAGTGTATATCATGAACTTCTCATGATGCTCTGTGTGAACCCTTGCTCATACCCGCATCGCTGCCTGCCCTGGACAAATCATCCTTCGCGTTTGCTTCCAAAGGCACCATGAACTGACCGGGCGTAGGGCCGACGACCTGATCCCCGAGGAGAGCGACGTTGTTCAGACTGCTCTGAAGCGTCTTCCTCCCAAGGAGGCCTACGACCGCATCTTCCGTATCCGCAGAGCATTCCAGGTTCGCCCTACCGAAGACCCCGATGTCACAAAGAAGCAACAGGCTAACGAAGCTCGGAAATAGTGCTCCGTCTCTCACACCCTTCTCCCCGCTGCTGAGCAGACCAAGCCCGAGGAGGTGAGTCGAATCTGATCCCATGCCTTCCGAGTATAGGCCGTTCACTTCTCCGCAAACCGTCTCGGCCAATCCCGTGAGCCGGATTTGTCACCTGGATGGAACTTGGAGAACGATGCACGGACAGGCTACATCTCTCTGTCCCGACCAATTCCCAACCATTCGACCACATATACTAATGATGACTACAGGATGTTGAGTACCTGAGCCCCATCATCCGCGAGATCGAGAAGGAGAAGAAGGAGCGTGAAGACCTCGACACCCTCGTCGTCCGCCGGTAATCGATTCATTAATTCGAGCCCTTTTGTTACCGGAATTAGACTGTCGTCGTCAGGAATCGTGGACGGTCGGGATAGAAATGAGAAAAAGAGTTTTATCTTGTCCGATTCAGCTGAGATGCTACCCACCACTGGCACCCAGCTAACGCTTCATCGAACCTTTTGATATGTCGCTCAACCACGTGTACTGATACTGTACAAATCCATCTGTCTTCGTCTTTTGCTATGTTTCATTCCATTTTGCAGTTTGCAGCTTGCAGTTCGCAATGACCGTAACCGCTTCTACGGCACTCCATGCCTCGAGTGTCATTCCTCTATATAACGACGTGGTCTGCGTCATCAATGGAGAACTCAAGCTTATACATAAAATGTATGAGTTCTTTGGACTATGCTCGCCTTGCTATCCAAGATATTCTGTCACATCTAGGGGGCTAGCTAGCCCATAGGGTTGGCTGTATACAGTTCTATAGTCTCATATGCATCCTTCGGTGGACTGTGCAGACCAAGGGCCTTTATATCATCACTTACTCTTCCCAGAGCTATGAGCTCATCACGGCGAGATTTACATCCGTCACTCGCCACATGTACCACATGAAGAGGCTCCTAGGATAGATGTAAGCGATGAGGAGCGCCCATAGCACATAGCAGTTCCAATACGTACCTGTATGGGGCGTACTTGGCGGCCAACTCCAGCATATCTTTTTCGGCCATATATTTGAACTTACCTCCACCTTTCCCCTTTAACTTGCTTACATCCTTTCCTGTAAACACGGCGCATCCTCTCCTGAGAAGAACTTATTTAGCGGACTACGATCGACGGTGGAGGCAATGAGGAAGAGGGTTGACATACTGCACGCCGAGATCACCGGTCGAGAAGACGTCAATCCGCTTCAAGGCAAAGCAAGCAAACATCTCCACGGACCAGAGGCCCAAGCCCCTCACGGCCGTCAGCTTCTGGACCAGCTCCTCGTCCGTGGCGTTCAGCAGCATCCGCGCGCTCAACTCCCCGTCCGCGAATTTCCGCGACAGCCCCAGGATGTACTCGGCCTTGCGCTGGGAGAGGCCCGCTGTCCGCAGCGTCTCGATATCCATCCCGATGATGTCCTCCGGCGTCGGAAACCTGTCCGCATCCGTCGCGTGCTCTCCTGCAGTTGTGAACAATGCCACGAATTTATCGCGGATCGACTTGGCCGCCGCGCCAGATACCTGCTGTCCGATGATGCTCTGGACCAGGCTTCGGAAGGGGTCGATCTCTTCCGCCAGCCCCTCCGGGGTGAAGAGCGGGCACGGGTGGGCCTTGATGAGCGGTTCGAGTCGAGGGTCCGTCGCGATTAGATGGGCAGTTGCTTTCTCGAGGAGCGTCCCCGTCGTGGCGGTCGGCCGTGGTCGGCCGGTCTTGGTGGGCGATTCATTCTCCGTCCCGGGAGGGTAGGCGACGAGTGAGGAGCCGTGCGGGGTCAGGAGAGTTGCGTTGGTGCGGTGCGGCTCGACGGGTCGGTCGAGAGGAGGAGGAGGAGGGGTGCTCGCCCTGTGATCATGATTACCAGGCACGGGGTCCCAGATGTTAGCGGGCGCTGCTGATCTGTGGTTCTCCGAGTCGGAGGGCGCTGTGGTGGAGGAGGGTGTAGACTTGGCTGGGGTCGAGCTTGAAGGGGTAATCTGCTCTGGGGCCGTTGCATGCAGGGCTTTCTTGCCCCTGGCTGATGGTTTTCGTGCTTTGGAGACCTTGTTGCTTGGTTGGCGGCTGCTGCTGCTGATGTTCCTGGCTTGTGCGGTGGTGGTTGGCTGCAGTACTGGTACTTTACCAGTGGGAAGTGCGCCCAGACGAGCGGAACGCCGTAACGCCATCATACCCGCAAAGTGGTGTTATATAATCAATACAGTGGTGCTTGTAGGAAGTTAGAGCGCGAATGCACATACTCTGACGGCGTCAGTCACTCGTTGCAGCGGTTACTCTTGGCGGAGTGACGTCGCGAGGGCGCAGGGGAGCAATGGAGGCCGAGATAAGCTCGGCCGCCGGGTCGAGAGCATCAACATACATGCTCACCATTGAGCATTATCACTCGTGGAGAGAACTGCGATATCCCATTTCCCCGCATTTTGCATTGGTAGGACTGATTCTCTAGGTCGTTCAATTCTTTTCTGCTCCTATGCCGGCTATCAACCCCAAATCAACCTCTCTACTTACAGTAATCGTTACAACAAAGGATAGCTAGTCGGTTCCACAAGAGATTCGCCGTGCGTGCTTACTACTGTAGCTCGATGTTGTCTCCTCTCCAGGTCTAGACATCTAACCTGGTTCAGCCATTCCACAGTCGCAATGTCTTCGGGATATGTCACTTGCTATGGATCAATGGAGTTCTGCCCACACTGAACCAACTTCAGCTTACTGGTCCTTCTCCATGCCGATTACCCCTTTTCATTATGACCGCCTCCTTTATGATCGCTCCTACTCTCGAGCGCATACATAGTTAGTCCTCACCGCTCTAACCCGAGATGGAACGGTCAAGAAGCATGGACAATTGCTGCATAAATTGCTTTTCTCCGTCGACAGCAGTGGACCACACAAAATATATGATCAACTCCACGGGAGTTCTTCCAGTGTGGAACTGAATCTGTGGACGGAAGACTCCGTTGCAAATCAGTGGAAAGGGCCCGATTGGCTATGTCTCAAGCATTTGTTTGGCACTGGGATGTGCTTCATATGAAATTTAAAAAACACTTTTTTTTTTTTTTTCTGTTTTTCTGCTTGCTGGCTGAGATTCTCCTTTGCGTCCACTCACGGAGGGGATTGGAGGCAAAAATTGGTGGCGCATATCTGCCCAGGGAATTGGTTTCTGTGGCGGATCACTTTCGAAGGGGGCAGGTTTACAGTTGGACAGCCAATGAAGTAGGTTAATTACCATAAACTATTGGTAAGGAATCTGACCGTTACGATCGATACCGATAGCGTGGGCTTGCGTCATCGATTGAGCGGACCATGGTCGTGGTACAAGTTGCACATCCACACGAAAAGAAGAAAGCAAAGTGGACCACTCACTGTCTTAGTCGTTTGTATAACTCTGAGAAGGTCAACAGACTCTTTGTAGGAGGAAGGAGGTGATGGTATGCATCTCATAGATGCGACTTACAGTACGTCTGTTTGTGTGGCAGAACGAGACGCATGGGTATGGTATGCTTTCAATACCGAGTATGTTAGGGGCCAGAACGGCCGCGTTGGTCGCCGTTTGATGAAGGGAGGTCCCGAGCTCAGGACTTACATTGGGGTCCCAAAACCAACTAGTAGACAGCTAGAACACTCGAAAGAGCCTGATGTTCTATTAACCAGGTACTAGAAATGAGAGCGAAAGCTTTCCTCGGCTCATTAGGAGAAAATGAAGTATGAATCATAGCAACGGGCGGCATGAGGATATGTTGTGATGAAGCCGCCGACATGGAAAATGGGAAGAGACAGACATGTCTCTATGGTTAGTAGGTATTAGGATCTCAGCAATTGTTAAAATCGCGTATTATTACTCCGTAGCATGCTTTCAATCGTAGAGCGATGCAAGAGCATGACTGCCAATGGCGCACGCCGCGTTGACACCGAGACATCGGAGCGGGTGTTTGTATACAACGCATCAGTCATGATTGTGGACGTGTCCGATAGAAGAACTGCCATGTTTCACGCCTGATACCTAGACGTCGTGGTTGGCAAGTCATTCCGGAATTGCTGCATCCTACTTGTGTAGTCACGGACTTCCTTTGTTCTTATCAGCGAAAAGGAGAAGTTAGACTACTGTCACTGAGTAGAGGGATTAGCTTAGTTTCCTAGTACACTATACAGTCGTTAGCCGGGGCAAGCCACCCGCGTCGTCGTGGCGCTAGGGCGAACGTGCTCGCTGGTAAACATTAACCTCCTTGATGCGGGTTGATTACGGAAGAACCTCCATGCAGAGCAACAACCACTCTAACTTACCACCGAGGACTTTGCATGGACTCGATGCACAATAGAGGTATTTGTTCCGCAGGCTCTCACACTCAAGTCGACTGACTGACTTACAAACATAGTATCCCTAGTGAGCTTGATATACATACCATCGTTCCTCTGCTCTGGATCGCAAGGGCGCATTGCGCCACTTTAAGAAGGGTGGTTGATTGCCGTGTTGGGTCTGATTATTGCGACCAACAAGTTGTGGAGTCTTTTTTTTTTTTTTATTTCGTTCTCGTTCGATGGGTCTGATGGTAGCTGAAGAACTCTAAAGCCGATCAAGGAGGAACAAGCAATAGCGGCAGTGACCATGACGATCAAATTTCCAGGAATTTTTTCAGATGTTGGGTCAGTCTTGCGTTCGTCCCCTCCTCGCTGGCTCGTCAATGCCCGCGATGGATTGCTACGAGTGAAAAAGTGCTACTCGTACTACTTCCATCATCCACCAGCAGCTTCCTTACAGGCTAGGTATCGTCGATAATGCAGAGTGTCGCTTAAAGACCATTGATAGCGCACGTAGATAGAGTCATCTCATGAGTGTTTCAGGTCATCGCCACTGGTCGGCGACGATGGACCTATGACATCCTGCTACCTCCGACTAGCTGCACACTTGGGCAGTGACAGTACTTCTATCTATCGGCAGGCTTATCCAGCCGGACCAATGCACCTAGACTGTACGGTATGTAAGTTACGCCCCAGTGGTAATACCAGATCTGCTCACTATGCCAACCTTTGCCCAGACGATGTGGGTCTTACTACCGGTGGTATGAAAAGTTACAGTGGTGCTACGTATGAATGAGAGCAGCACGTGATAATCTCGCCCTTGATGGGTTTCCTGTCTCGCCACTTCGCTCGGTGGGTTTATTATTAGGTTTCCTGGTGAGGGCACTGTATCGGTTTATCCGCTCTCCCAGGTCTGGTACCCACCCGTACCTGAAGCCAAGATACTCATACAAATTGAGTTTGCAGGCGAAGCAGAAAAGCAATGAATGGTGATGAGGTCTCTTGTAGAACGATCCCAGCTATATGCTCCAAAACAATAGCCATCTTGAGTTCAAAGTCAATCTTGTTAAGATGAGGCACAATGGTGGCTGATACCTGAGCTGTGAACAATGGAATTCCTGCTGCTGCTGCTGCTGCTGCTGCTAATCACATACCAACGTACGGCAGGCGAGAAACCAAGAGTCGCGCGTCGGTCTTCCGTAGCCTGCCAGTGGCGGGGCTCCCTCAGATTCCAATAAATTCAGATCGACCACTACGCGACGACCCGGCTCAATAACAACACTTAGCCTTTAGTTACATTCTTGGAAACGTGCCATACAGGCCCCGGGCCCCGGCAGTCCTGGACTGCTCAATAATCGACAAATGTTGGCTAATGATAGAATCTGAAATTAAATGATTTGTGTGAAGAAGGGAGGATGGGGGAAGGAGGGGGGGCAGACGGGGTGTCAAATACATTTCAGGTGGAACAGATAGGTCCTTCGGGAGCTTCCTAAACAATGTAAATGAAAAGAGGTCTGGCCCCCCCTCCTAGCGGCGAGATGCTAATTTTGTATCGACTTGCCTTGCCTGTGCTGGTGCATCATCGTCATTTTACCTCGCTCCAGTCCCAATTTCCCGCGACGCATCGCCAGTCTGCATTCCATCGAAGGGGCGCATTTTCATTTCACAGTCAAATTTCCGCTGTATGGGTCGCAATCGGTCATGACAAGAAAGAGAAAGCGTCTACCCCGTCGCTCGCAGTACCGATGTGATCACTCCGTACTGTCCCTAGAATTCAATTCACAGTCAATTGAGGATGTATGACGTCGGGCGCACTGGAGACTTTGTTCTCAATCCAGTACAGAGTACGGAGTAGAACTAGGTGCTTCCTGGCAGGTGCAGTGTAGGGTGTTGGTAGGGCAGCGAAGAATATCTCATTGGATGAAAGTATGAACCACCAGTCATCACTGGGCAGTCATGTAAACACTAAGGTACTAATAGTCCAGTAAATCTCTGGTCTTGGAAGCAGCAGAGACAATTAGACATTTTTGTTTGGTGTGGTGATGGGGAGAGGGGAGAGAGGAGGAGGGGGGGAAAGGGGCTGCTGAGCGAATCAGAAAGGGTTGTCAGGCATGATCATTGGTGAAGTGTTACAAGATGGAGCAGTCTAAGAAGTCCTAGGATGGACTGACTGGTTGCCGGTCAGAAATTCAGAAGAACCGGATTCCTGTGGGTTTGGATCATGCTGGTGGCCGGTTTATTATTCTTTTCCCGCCGCCTTCCCGGTACTTTCGTTACCATGGACACACTCTGGAAGGAGCCCAGATTCATTCAGGTACTAATTCTAGGTACAATTACTTCCGGGATCTCTGTGAGTTACGGTGTATTGTATGGTTTTGGTTGTGTTCATACACACTCCGGTAACGTCGCAAGGAGATTCACTCTTCAATTCCCCCCGGTCTCAGGTCCACACCTAAACTAAACTAAACTAGACCTCGGGGCCACGACTCCTTTCTCGTCCTCCCTGAAAGTCTTCCTTCCCACTTTCTTGGTGGTTTTTCCTTCTTGTTATCCCAGTCTTTCTTTCTTCTCCTCCTCTTCCTCCCACTCGCTCGCTTCTTTCTCTTCCCTTCTCTTCTTCCCTTCTCTTCTCTCTTCCATATCAGAAAGTGCCTGCCTAATCCGCCGCACCAAACAAACCGATTCTTTCCTTCCCTTGAAGGCAATCGCTAAAACATAACTTGAAAAAAAAAGAGCTTCTCCTTCGTTGAAGCTCCCTTCTTCCATTCGTTTATTTATTGTTTCGCTTCCACCCCTTTCCAGCTCTTACGCTTAACTTGACTACAAAGGGCCACGCCTTGCCCAGACTTCACAAAAATCCACTCTCCAGTCATTGGTAGGTTTCCATGTTTGTTTTCATTGTCCCACTCTCTTCCTGCATCGCTCAAATAGATCTGCTTGCTTCCGCATCGGCTGTCGAGTGAACCCGATACTGCATGTCAGAATCTTGCAGCCAGTCTTGGAAGACAGGCTTCTAAAATCACCCCCACATCGCAATTCTTGCAAGGCTAACGTCGAGTCCTGGATTCGAACAGTCTAAACTCAACTCGAAACAATGGCCATCATCAAATACGCTATTCCCGCCATCGCTGCGGCCCAGGTCGCCCTCGCTGCCAGTGAGTGAATTTCTTCCTGGGTTGCCGAGATGACAGTTGCAATTCTTACTGACCACGAAATCAGGCTGTGGTAGCAGCGGCAGCACCATCAAGATCGCCAGCCAGAGCGATGCCGACAGCTACGCCACTTGCACGAAGCTCACCGGTGACGTTGAGATCAGCGAGAGCTTCTCTGGTGACCTGAGCATCAACGGTCCCTACGAGATCACCGGTGGACTCTCTAGCGATGGCGCCAGCAACCTCACCTCGCTCACCTCCACCAGCCTTGCCACGATCGGTGACACCTTCAAGCTGAACGGTCTGACCACCCTGACCACCCTCAGCTTGACCAACCTGAGCAGCGTCGGTGCCATCTCCTGGACCGCCCTCCCTGAGCTCCAGTCTCTCGACTTCACCAAGGGTGTCTCCGAGGCTGGCGATGTCGAGATCACCAACACCGGTCTGACCAGCTTGGATGGTATCTCTCTCAAGAGCGTCGGCACTTTCGACATCACCGAGAACACCAACCTGAAGACCGTCAACGTCAACGACCTGACCAACGCCACTGGTCTGATCAACTTCGCTGGTAACCTGGACTCTCTCCAGATTATCCTCCCCAACCTTGCCGGTGGTACCAACATGACCTTCCGCAACGTCAGCGCCGTCTCTATCCCCTCCCTCAAGGAGCTGAGCGGACAGCTCGGCTTCTGGGGCAACTCTTTCTCCAACTTCAGCGCTGCCAACCTCACCAGCACTGGTGATCTCGTCTTCGACGACAACTCCGACCTTACCAACATCAGCATGCCCGTCCTCAAGACCGTCAACGGTGGTTTCCAGATTGCCCGCAACGACAAGCTCGAGGAGATCTCTTTCCCCGACCTTGAGACTGTTACTGGTGCCATTGACTTCAGCGGTGAATTCAACTCGTAAGTCGCCTATATTTGCACTTGACTCTATGTGCGTCGACTAACTTGCTTCTAGTGTCTCTCTTCCCGCTCTCGAGGAGGTCAAGGGTGGTTTCAACGTCCAGAGCACCGGTAACCTGACCTGCAGCACCTTCGAGAAGATGCACAGCAACAACGTCATCCGTGGTACCTACAAGTGCACCCAGACCTCCCACCCCACCACCAAGGACGGCTCTTCCGGCACCACCACTTCCACCAGCAGCACCAGCTCCGCTTCTTCCACCTCCAGCGACAGCGCCTCTGTCATGAACATTGTCAACGTCCCCGCCATGGGTGCCGCTGCCATCTTCGGTGCTTTCGTCCAGTACCTTTTGTAAAGGGCCTCCGATAGTGATTGTTTGCGTGTGCCGCTTTTGTTAAACCCCTATGATGGTCGTTGTGTCTAAAGTTGCTTAAGGAGCAATTGGTCGTTATTCCCAGTACTCTGCTGTTCTTATGATAATAATTTGAATATTGGGTTGAGCAACATTTGCGCAGCAGTGCTTGCCTTCGAAGAAATGATGGTTTATCCTTGTGTTTATCCTGCTTAATATGGAGACGCGGCCACGGGCTTGTGGACGGTTCGCCCTTTGGCCGCCCGCATCCGATGCTGGGCTGGATTGTGGCCACCGGGCATTCGCCCCAGTGAGCGGTCTCAACGTGTGTTATAGACGTTCCTTTGCTGTTTTACGCTGCTTCGTTGCATGCTAGTGCATTGCTTTTGTACTTCATTAATTCATCGTCCATACTTGAACCTATCGAATCCCCCTCTTTCTTTCTTCAGTAGTTCCAATCTGCAGTGCACTCGTGCAGCCCAACAGACCGTGGTGCCAAACTTAATCTCCACCGGAATCATCGAGCGTGCATTGAGCTGCATTCGTATCTGCCTGGCCAGCCCAGACTCTGAATCATGTATATGGTTGGACGCCTTCATTGGGTCCGTCTCTTCGCCGATGCACCATCCTCTGATCCGCAGCGGATGACGATAAGTATATGACATGTAACTTCCCTTTTTACCCATCCAGGCATACGCCATCTGAGACGTCTGCCCGGAGGGGAGACGACGCACGGCTCTCGCAGCCGGTGGGTCGGTCGATACCTTGGTCTGCTCAGTGTTCAACTTGCAGAGAGTTGTGCATTGCAGACGGATTCATGGTCTGCTCAGTTTGTGGAAACCGAGATGTGTCAGATGCGCGGGCGAATGGGTGTCTGTGCTAGGAGTATTGGCTGCAGTGCTTCACTTTACTTACTTTGTAAACCTGACTGATGCGGACTATTCAGTTCATATCTGTTTTAATGTTACAAGGTTCTTTCTTCTGGATGTTTGGTCTTTTTTCATGTCCATTGAGTGGCCCGGAATCAAGATCCGAACAACAGGCAATGGGAAAAGAAAGTGAACTGTAGTGCCGGTAGTCTGTGACGGTCAACATAAACAGTACATCCACTACGGCTGTGCCAAAACATGACATGTTAATTTGTTTTTTTTTTTTTGTCCTCTGGACAATGAAGAGGCTGGGTCCACTACACCCACACAATTGCCTCTTCACGTGGTCTCGAGCCGAGCTCTTGCAAGGAGATGATGTCTCGGAAGATGTCTCGGGGGAGGAGCAATCTACAGTTTGATATCATTCTGTCGGGGCTGATAGTCAGCGGCTACACACTCTTTCTCTCTTTTTCCTGCGTTCTACGACAGCAGCAGTAGAAACCCATTTCACCCTAGGGCTTTTCGAGTGGGAGGGGAAGAGGAAAGAAGAAAGTCTATTTCAATTCAATCAAACAACGTGCGAAGTGGGCTGCTATCCACTCTTGAAGGTTCGTGAACTAATCTCGTACTGTAGATGTAGATTGTAAATACAACCCGCCCCTCCCCAAAAAAACCAATCTAATCTGGTGGATGATGAGGATATCAGAGTCACGAAGAACCCCCCCCCCACGCCAAAATGACCCAAGGCTGCTCGCTTACCACCAAGCCCGGCACGTGTGGCAGCACTGATGGTTGCAAGTCCTGCTTCTGCCGTTCTCGACCACCTTCCGCTCACAGCGTCCTTCGGTGTTGGGACCACCACCGCAGACATGGCATTTCCACCGGCCGTTTGTACATCCGGAAGGCGCAACTTTCCACTGCGCAGAAGCCATCCGAATCATAAAGAGTCTCGTTGTAATCATACTTCACGAACTGCCCTTGCGCATTGACGTATGTGCCACGTCGCTGGATCTCCTCGAACCGCACGGGATGCTTGCCGCACCGTGCCGTGGGAGTGTCTGACCCTGGGTCCCCGTTCTGGGCCATGGTGGATGGGGTCTGTCTTTTTTTGGGGGGGTGAATGAGACTCCAGCAGGAGCTGTAAGTCCGAAAAGCAGCTGAGGATCGAAGGGTGAGGAATTGGTGGAGTTGTAGAGGATCGGCTATTCGAATCGGGAAAAGCAAATGGTAGGATGACCTGACGGACGATGGACTCCAACAGAGATCAGACCCTTCTTAAAAACAATGTCGGCTGTGAAGAGGCTTCCGGAGCTTGTCTGACAAGAGACTAGATCTTTCTGCTCCCCCCTAACCATCAATGACGCAGCGTGTGTGTGGCTGCTGGCTGGATTGATCGAAAGACTCATGCTTTGTTTGATTTCGGCACTCTGCACGCGGGGAGACAAACGGGTAAGTTAGGGGGAGAAAACAAACCAGATTGGTGACCTTGTTGGGCACACTCATTAGACAGAAACCATCCGACTCGAGTCAGTCATGGAACAAACAGTACAGGTCAGCGGTCTGTAGCCGCCCCGTCGTAGCACCGGCGATGAAATAAAGAAAGAGCGGAACAAACGGGAGCGAAGAATGGGAAATCGATGTGCGCACCAGCCATGCGAGAAGCCAGGCAAACAGAAACACCACGTAGTCACAATCTGGAGAAATACAACCAAGCTGATTGAAGCATTCACTAGGTACACCATCATAGGGCTTCAAGCCCCCTGAACCATAGCCAGCCATCTATGCTTCAGTCCGGTAAACACAAGAATTCGCGGATCGCCTTCAACCCCACAAGATCACCTGCTACTGTTCCCGTTAGCTCTAGGGGCACGTAGTCCTTCGTAAAACCTCCCTCTAGATCGATAATCCAAGCATCCTGGTTGCGGTCAACCAGAACGTTGTCTGGCTTGACATCTCCCCAGGTCATCCCCCTCTGGTGTAGTGCCATGACAGTTTCATGAATCTGGTCAAACCACTTGTGGCGCACACCAAGATCCGTCGTCTGCATGTTGTCCCGAACATCCCACAGTGTGGTCTCGTGGGGGATGAACGATACCAGAATTCCCGGACACTGGCTCTCCAACCCTATGAAGCCAGCCAGCTTGGGTACGCGGAGGGAACACCCCTCCAAGTCCCGAAGCATTGTGGTCTCGCGTGGAAGCCACTTCCGCCACTTCCCTCTCTTGTAGATGAGCGCCGTGCCGTTGATCTCAACCTTGTATACCCAATTCGGGGCCATCGTCTCCAGAAATCTGGCTGCTGCGAGGTCGTAGCGGGGAAAGCCGGCGGGGATGTCTAGGTCCAGCCAGGGGGTGTTGTCATATCCCGGCCCCTGACGAACCATCCAGGCGGGAAGATGGCCCGGCGGAGTGAGGTTGATGAGCGTGGGCAGTCCGTCCTTGGTGGTCACTAACTGCAAGTGGACTTCGGCGCGCAGGAGGTGGCTCTCGAGGTCGTCGCCGGTCCAGTCCGCATATGCCTTGAAGAACGGCTGGCACAGTTCCGGCAGCAGGCGTCTCAGGAAGGAAAACGTGCTGCCGTCACTCTCCCGGAGCATTTGGTACCCCAGCGTGTTCGTGTTCCTCTGGTCGAACGGGGCCGGCGGTGGGTTGGTGCTGACCAGGACTCGGAAGGTCGTCCGTCCGACCAGATACTTGTGGTACAGCATCGTGTAAGCCAACTCCGATTTGATCTCGGGTTTCGGGACTGGAATGAACATTCGTGGACGGCGGATGGCATAGCTCGAAGATTTCCAATGCCCGACACGAGTGAGTTCGGCCTCGATCTCCTCATCTGCATAGTCGACACCATCCACCTTGGGAAGCTCAAGTATGACGAATTCTCTCTCGTCATCGGAGCCCTCGTCATCGGAGCCCTCGTCATCGGGGTGGTCATCACTAGACTTCTCATGCTTGAGGGGCTCATCCGGGCTGGCCGAACTATCGGGTTTCACCACCATCTTGAAAGGAAAGTGAAATCCCTGAGACGGCTTGGAGAGAGAGAGACAAAAAAAAGCAAAGACAGATTAGAGTAAGCTAGGAGATTCAACCTCGTCAGGTTCAAGTTATTTCGATAAAGTGAAAACGACAACAGATTGCTAGAGTGTGAAAGTAGAACGGTATAGACATACTGACATGTTGGGGATTTTTATCCGGCAATCTCTCACCAAGAAGTCCGACTTGGCCATTGTGCAGACAGTTTTCTGATTGAAGCTGCTTGGTAGATGGGGGCGCAAAAAAAAAAAAAAAAGCCTCGTACTATTTCGGGAACAACCACAACAGAGCGATGCAAGCTTGTCTTTGTTTCGCATCAAAATCATCAAAGAGCAGCCCTCATTGCACCAATAGTGGGTTGTTTCAGTTGATGGTGGATTGAGGTGGCAGAGGAGGGACTGGCCGACTTCCTTTGTTGCCGTTTGAGCCAACTTTGACCAGAGCGGATAGCCGCATTATGTGTCGTTTGGCACGCAAAGAGCACGCAGCCATGGAATTTTTCAGCTTGGGGAATGAAAGCTGGAGCTCAAGGCTTCTAAGCTTCAGATCAACTCATTGCCCCCCATTTTGGCTGGGACATTCGGATTTTTATTTTCCCAGCGAGACTGCGAATTGGATACAGACATAAGCCGCAGAGGGCTGCGCATCAACCCTCCCGAAGGGCGCCATAGAACCAAAGACACCGGCACAGAACATCGAGAGTATACCCAAGCATCGGACAGCAGAAAATGCCCTAGCAAACGACGAGTCCCGAGACAGCACACCACAAGCAGGCAGCGCGGGATGCTGCCATGGATCTTTGCCCTAGTGGAAGTCATTCGAGTTGTTGATTGATCGGTCATGCGAAGACGAGGGCGCAGTGGCATAACTACAATCAAGAGCTGGGTAAGAGGAAACAAGTACTGTACACTGAACGGAGATCTCCATGTCATGTAGTCCGAGACTGAGTCCTCATGTGTCACTCGCGTAGCCACCGTAGCTACGCTCTGTACAGTGACATGCAGCCCCGAGACGTCCCCTACTACCGGACAAATGCCTGCCCGCCAGCTACTAGGGCAGGATGGGTCAATAGATTGGCTGGAGCTTGATTGACTGGGAATTCTCGGAGGATACAGATTGATAGCAAAGCACTCACCTTTTCTTCACATTCAATCAGACTGACTACGGTACTAGATAGTTAGACTATGGACTATGGACTATGTACTACTGTACTTTGCGCCGAAAGTCCCACCGCACGGTACCGTAGACGCCATGCCATTCTCTAAATCTGGTATGTGAACGCGAATCCGTCGGCAATGGTCTCAACTTTAAATACGGAGTCGCGAGGGGAAAGGGGAAATGAAAAAAAAAATTAGATAAATAAATAAATAAAAAAAAAAGAAAGAGGATGTTTCGAATCCTGCGGCCCGCTGCCTATGTGGGGATTCACAGTTCTCTTTGTCTTGCATCCCCTAGGTTTGAGACGAAGCAAAGTAGAGCGAAGGGAAAAAGAAAGGATAGGGAGGGTCGAGGATCCGTGCGAGCCTCGACTTGAGAGGTTGAGTACAATTGTAACTAATCAACCAATGTAAGTACAGTACGGAGTACAGTAGGTTTGATTCAGGGCTCGCCCGACCTCGGGCTTCGATCAGGTGGGAGGCTCTTTCCTGTGTCTGCAAATTCGAGGATCACCTACGATTTTACTCTATTTAAGATTCTTTTCTGCCTGCTGAACGGATTGACACGGGGTCGGTGGTAATAATAGAAAGGCTATTTGGAATGGGTCAAGGGTGGATCCCGTGAGATGGAGTGCTGATGATGGTCGTTCTTGTGTCTGGTTACAGAGTCCTCGGGCCACATATGATAGATAGACGGTAACCCTGTATGGAGAACTGACGGCTGATGATGCCTTGCATCATCAATGTCAATTGCGCATGCCTGAAGCTTCTTAATCTGTCAGAGACTGTAGGGAGAGCAACACTTAGCCGGCCCTCATCGCTGGTCGGTCCTCTCGCCTCCCTCCCCCGGTAGGGCCTGGAACGCGACGCCAGAGTGGCAAGAATAAATCCAGGTTGTACTGAAAGGCCACTTCGCACTGGGCCCAAAGCAGAGTGCAATAATTAAGGCAAGGTAGAGATGATGAGGCAAGGTGGTTGTTGCCGACAGGGGCGGGGGGAGGATGTCCAGAGACGGATTCGGACAGTCCGGCAGGAAGATGGGGGATGCTGCATCGCCATGGGCCGGTCATTCGAGGGTTTGTATTGAGAACAGTTCTACCGAGATCCGATGGAAACCATAGAATCACTGAAGAATAACTACTTACTCCCTTAGTGAACCTGAAACATGGCACGAGTCGTCGTAGCTTTGCCGGCGGCGACATCACCCGACCTTTTGTCTCGCCTTTCATCGGATATCTGATCGCGATGACCCGTTCGGGGAATGGGACCTCACCTGCGAAGGGGATTGATGTGAGTTGAGACTTCGTGCCAGCCCGGCTAGACCATCCAGCCAGCCAGCCAGCCAGCCAGCTCATCTCAGCCCCATGAGCTGGAGACTGAAGGTGGAAGAGGGAAGTGGCGAACTGCATCCCAAAAAATCTGATACATGAGGTGATCTTGCATAGTGGCACGCCGGGACAACCCTGGTCATTACCCGCACCATGACGGACGTGGCTCATGTGTGGATGGGGATTAAAGTTATATGTGTATGTTCGACCATGAGACTAGGTACTTAGGCATGTAAGTATATTGAGGGTTGCGTACGTACTACTGTAGAAGCCACCGGGGTGGCGTGGGGCCCAAACGGGTCCGTTGAGGGGAAAGCCGGTAGAGCCAGGGAGGGTGCCGTAGGCAAGTCGACAGGTAGACTAGACTAGAGTGGATTTCCGGGTTCGGACAACGCATTGATGGTAGAAGAGGGGGTGGGAAGGGGGGGGTCTCAGCGGGGAGGAGAGGAGAGGGAGAAGTGGTGCTTTTTGGTTTTGTGATACATCACGCCCAGACTAGCTGATATGATTAGTGGTGGTGGTGGCTGGTGTGTTTTGATTTTTTGCCCCCTCCAGGAGAACCGTTATCTTAGGGCAGACTGCGCGATAAGTTACTACATAGGTAGACAACACTCAGATGATGGCAATTGGTAAGTCCCTTGGGCTGAACTTTACGCTTGTAGCCTTTGTGACCAGTATCAAGCCAATTTCTTGGGAGTTCAATTTGACGAAAGAAGTAATTAGTTAATTAGGTTAGGTCAGTTGAGTAAATTAGTTGGTTATGAATTATGAGTAACATACTTAACTCACTAGTTAGTTAGTCTACGCAGTTGAACTCAGGCTGGCGTCTGTTTGAGGACCCGCTAAAAAGAAAAGGAAATGCTGTGTACGGAGTAGCGCAAATCCGCAGTCAAATCGAACCTAAACCTTCTTCTCCCGCTCTCTCGTTCTCCCTTGGGCCCAGTGATAGGATCGGCTGCCACCCACGTTAATTCAGAGGACTATCATGTCACAGTGGCTGTCTTTCGTCTGACAGGCAAAGTCAAATGATGGTCTTCATCACTCAATAGAGGCAGTACTGTGTCCGTATCCTGTGGTATATCTCATCAAGGAGCCGCATTAAGGTTCAATTCAGCCCCTCTCCCCGGGATTCGTTTTGTCGTGATGCTTGGGTCTCGCTGCCGGGAATTCCTGGCAGGAGTCAATAGATTGGTAGTGATCGATGATTCGAGACCACGATATATCGGAGAATAAGCGAGAGTCTCGTCGACACAGACGGTAGGGAAGGGCTTGCTAGCACCACCACCACCACCACCACCGGCACCGGCACCCTCCCCGGACAAAATTCCTGGCTGAAGGTTCAACCATGGGGCCCGTGAGCGCCATCAACTATCCACGCCATGTATGGAAGTCTGCATGCAATCATTTGAACGGGAGGAAACTCTGTAGACCACAAATGAGTTCGTGCCTGGCATCCACAGCGTGCAAGGTATCTCTGATCAAACAGGGGCTAGGGTCTCCTGAGGATCGCGCTCAGTGTTTCATGATCCCTTTCCGCAAGTGGATATATGTATTGCCAACTCATCATGTTATGGAGAATGCGTACTTTCTAGCCTCCACAGCGCTCGTTCAGTCAGTCCTCCGTGGGGAGAGGGGGCAAATTAATCTATTTCAGGCCCTAATAGTTGATACTTGGACTTTCAAGCGGTGGTAGCCGACGACGAGTGGCCAGCAAGCTGCTGGCCAGGTATCATGGAATAACGTTCAGCGTCATGAAAGTCATTTTGAAAGTCATAAAGTAGGGAGGATAGCCTGTTTTGGCATAGTGCTGCTGCTGAGGTCACTTCCCGGCCCTCTGGGGACGGACGGAGGGCGTATGACGGGACGGGAAGGGAAAAGAACCATGTGGGAGTATTTGTTTGCTATGTCGTTGACAATATGAACACATTCAGTTATGGATGACCATCAATAGCCTACTAGATAGTATCAAAGATGATGACGATGGAACGATAATAGTGACGAGTATAACGATCGTCTCCTCCTCAAGTCAGTCGCCTCAACAACGTGGGGCTACCGTGAGCCGGAAGACCCATTATTTTCTTCACCTCAGGCGGTGCAAATCTCAGATCCGGGGACTCTCAAAATATGACAGATCTTACGTTCCAGTTTGAGGTCCATTTTTACCCCCTGCCTACAATCATCTACAGTACTCCATAGTTGCAATACTGTAGGTATAGTGCGTATTTACATCCGTATGCTGGTTTCTGTTCTCCTTTTTTTTTTTTTTTTTGGTTGGTAATGTTATGGAATCATTGCATGGAATAGTGCTCTCCCTCTTGACAGCAGACTTGTCAATATCGCTGTTGAAGGCTCGTTATTGTTGTGGTTGTTGTTGTTGTTGCTGTTGTTGTTGTTGTTGTTGTTGTTGTTGTTGTTGTTGTTGTTGCTGCTGCTGCTCTGGGCTTAGTGCTCTGGATCGACTTATGAAATAGATTCCAAAAATTCCTATCATCCAAAATGTAAACAAACAGTGGCGGGCGATTGAGTCCAGAAGCCACGCTTGACAGGCCGCCAGTCACACCCTCACATCCTGGTCGCTGGGATCAGCCAGAGACCCAGTCGGATGGGCCCTTCCTCAGGGCTCGGCTGTCGACGATCCAATTCTGTCCCGCGGGCTACATTACCTAGTCCAGTCTCCGTACTGCCTACTCCGTACTACACCATACATAGGACTGTACTTAGTACAGTAGGTTGAGTTTGGACCCCCTTGAGTCGGGCCCATTCGGCCTTCCACATAAAAACCAAACTCTCTGGCCCTGTCCACCTGCTGCGTTTCCCATTTCGGTAGTACATGACTGTTCAAGGCGCTGGGCCTGGAGCTCGATCACGCCCATTGTTGTTGTTATTCTTCGTAAAAGTATACAACCCTAAGTACGACGACGACGACGACGACGGACTCTGAGCAATGCAAGGCACCGACATCAGTGACAACACCCTTATCCTGACCATTAATCGATAATCAATGACTCTGATCCTTAGCCCAGTTATCTCCCAGGTTGGGAAAATAGACCAAGCAGAGGAATGACATCGTGGTGGGCGTCATCGCTTCGGGACTTCCCTGGCATGACGCTAAATTCATGGCCTCCTCGCAGAACCTGTCTCACGTACTTTTTGCATCTTCCCTCGAGAGTCCTTGCTTCGTGCTATCAAGTACTGATCCCCTTCTGCCGAAGTGATGATCTGCTTTGGGGGACCCTCCACTCGTCTGCGCGTCGGATATTTATGTATAGTACATACTGATTCCAGGGCTTTGGTCCCTTTATTGGTACTTCTGTACTCTCGATGCAATGATCTCATTGCCGTGAACAATAATGAGACTGTGGGCCTCCGGAGTCCTCGCCTTCTCAGGGTAGCATCTTAGCACAGTACTACGCCTGTTCCTATACTGTGTATAGTATCTGGAGTTCTCCAATGCGGTACATGCGATGAGGTATCAAGGAGACGGTAAGCCATCCAGCCAAAAGTCCCGGATGTCTGATCCGATCTGCGTTTCGTCGTCGGTACCTTGGCTGAGTGTGTACCCCCTGCAATAATGGCTGATCATTCCTTATAGGTATGGTCCTCAGAGAGACCTGTGCTTCTTCCTGTACCCCGCAAAGGCTGTCTGCTCGAGCACCGACAGGATAGATAAGCGCAAGAGACTCGGTTCTTACCTCCATAGCAGTCATTGGATAGCGCTTGTCTCCGTACAGACAATAGGAACGTTTCCCACCTGGACACTATCAGTTCACGGATGCACCGCTGTCTGGGTCAAGGCGTCGCTCTCAACACTTCCCGAATGGACCATGGCCATTGGCCCGAGCAAACTATTGATGGCTGCGATGCAAGGGGAGTCGATACCTTTCCGCCCCGTGTAGATCGAAAACCGCAGTAGTGGTGACAAATCAAGGGTCTTCGATCCTCATTCGACTCTCTTGGTCATCGGGATCATGGCACGTTGATTCGTCGATCCGGTGCTGCCTCGCGTCTGTGCTAATTTGTGATAGAGATATCTGCCCCCAAGAGGACCCAGAGGACCCAGAGGACCCAGAGGACCCAGCCCAGGACCCGAATGATCCCAAAAAGTCACTAGCTCGAGCTGTCGAACTTTGCCGGAATCTTCTTGGTGCTTCCCCGCGTGTCCTCATGGAGAAGAGGACAATGAAGAAAGAGCAGGAGATCCCGAATGGGACCAAAATGGAGCCAGAAGGTCAGATAGGCTTCATTGTTCCTGGCCCGAAGGACGTCGGGGATAGTCTGGATGCACGAACACAACGACCATGACAATGCCAACCAAGAATATACGCCGTGCCCATTGTGATGGTCTAGTATACCGTATAAGACCTGCACCAAACTGCGGAATATCTTGCATACTTGCGAGAGGTCAAAAGCAAACCTTTGCTTTAGGAAAAATCGAAGAGAAAAAATATACATGGTAGAAAAAAGAAAAGAAAACCTAGAAAGAAAAAGAAAATAAAACGATGAAGAAAAAAGCAAAATGAGAAAAATAAAAGTAGGGAGAGAAAAAAAAAGGAATATTTCCCCAGAAGTAAAAATAACATCAAACAACGCCCGGGAAGGAAGCTGTATGTAATCGACTCATGGTAGCCCCGTTTCCTTCTTGAGGTAGCCGCAGATCGAGCTAATCCGTTTAACTCAGACTAGGGAAAGTGCAAGCCCTGTAATCACTGGTTATGGATGCTTGAGGGGGGCCCGGCCTGGCGGCGGTGGTGCCGGTACCAATGAAGTGCAGTACCACTCTGGGATGAAGTTGTTGATACATCCTTCCTCTCAACTACAGCTTGCAGTGCTAGTTATTCATCTTCACTTTTTACACATACACACACATACACACTTACACGCACGCATAGAGAGAAAAGATGGACCCTCTCATCTTGCCTATCCTTCGGATCTCCTTCTCTCCATCTGATGCAGTTCATTGCCAGCTCAACTGTACGTCTGAGCGCCACCACAATGGCGTCTTTCCGCGCTCGCTCTTCCTCCCCTCCCCACCTCCTTCATTGGATTCATCAATTCCCCCCTCCTGTCTCCTCGTTCACTTCCTGCAATATAAATCATGCAGCGGAAGCCTCCCGTATCCCTGGAAAGCGCAGTGTTCCTCGATTATATCTTCCATACCTCGTGGTTTTCCATTGAATATCCTCAAGTGTTTCTCAGCTTTCCATAGCAACCCTTCCCCTTGATCACAATATTGTTTTCTAGCATTACAATTCATTCGCCACTCCATCTTTAGTCACTGATCTATCCCCCTTGAAAGGCAGTCTCGAAACTATATATATGCCATCTGTGTTTGCCCCTCGTCGTTGAAATTACTCTCAGACATCCCGCGCAGGTGCAGACGTACCGTACATATCAGAGACATTCCCCAGTCTAGACGCATCAGCCTCAGACATACAGCGTCCCCAACTGCAAGAGACACCCTCCTTTGTCTCACTCATCAGCACAGCAAATCTTTGACTGAATGTCTGACGACATCGTCCGACGCTCTCCATCGTGAGTCCCCTTCCTGTGTCCTTGCCTCCAAACGCAGAGCTGACAGCTCTCGGCTGCATAGCGACATGCGCACCATCTCCAGTGCCTCCAGTACCGCAGACATGAGCGACGACCGCCGTCTACCACCCCTACCACGGGTGGAGCCTTTGCCCCGGGGACCTTTCAACCCCTTCACTTCCAACATTTTTGCTCCTAGTCCGCCTACGTCACACGAAACTTTCCCTGTCAGGTCCCCTTGGCCATCGGCGGAGCATATGGTGGCACCTCCATCCCCGGCGACCTCCGCTGATAGCTCTTGGCCGGAGCCTTTGCCTTCGCAGAAAGTTCTCGAGTGGCACCAGGAGCTCTCTCACAATGAAATCCTGAGTCTGATCATGCCTAAACACATCAACCGCAAGCCACCACTGCAGCAACTGTGTGGCCGTAAGCGGAAGGGAAACATGATTTCGGCGGACTCGGACGAGCAGAGGGAGAAGCACAGAATTGCTGAGGGTAACCGCCGCAAGAACCTCAGCCAGTTGCACCGCGAACTCGACAGTCGCCTCCACGATTTCTTCCTTGAGCGAGCAGGTTGGAATCCATCCAAGAGTCTCCCCGAATCGAAAGAGCATATTGTGCAGGCCGCCATATTTCTCATCGACTTCATGCTTGTGATCATTATTCATCTGATCCACCAGGAAAATGAACCGCCGCGTCACCTTTCGAAAAAGCTGCAGACCCAACTCCGTTGCATGCAGCTGCAGCAAACAGTGTCCCATCTACAGCAACAGAATCAGAGCCTTCAACAACAAGTCAAGACCCTGAAGCAAGAGAACCAGATGTTGGAAGAGCGCAATCAGACGCTTGAGTTTCAGCTGAAGACGTATGAGCACATGTTCCGCACCTCCAAGAGCGAGCACATGGCCCCTCAGCCGATGCCAAATCCAGCAGAGCCCAAGCCACGGAACATGCTCCCTGGCTTGAGGGTGTTCTGTGACGAGATTGCTGTCAATGGCCCTGAGTCTCGGTTGGAGCACATTCCCGCTGCAGCAACGCAGTCATTTGGCCACTCTTACCCGGGTAACACTCCCCCCGTCACCGGCCCCTCGTCACCGATGTTCACTCAGGCATCTTACTCGGTACCGGCATCACGACGCCCATCGCTCAACCCGTCGCCCTGATCGACTTGAGCGCGCCGCGCCAACGAACAGCTGCGAGCGCTGCACTCAGCAGTCAAATCTTGAATTGCAAATAGAGCTTGGTACATACTGCAATCGCAAATCCGTCACCACCCTTTTCAACTGTGTTTCTTTCTAGCATAGCGGGAGCGTTTTTCATCGACATACACTTGCAACATCAGAGCTTGTATATTGATTTATTTATTGCTTTGTCGAGTACGGGATCCACGTGACGGGGCCTTCGTTCTCTGTCTGGTGTCAGCTGATTTCGAAAGTGGTGGTGTACATCAAAAGAAAAGGTCGTTCGGGGAGTATGAGCATGGCATTTCTCATGGAGTTTGTACCAGTCCCTCCATTGTTTATATTGTCTATATCGAGAGAGGCTATACAGGGTATCATTTGTGGGCTTCATTTCTGGCGTGAAAAGGGATCTATCTGGGAACCATCTTGTGATTTACTGAGTTTAGAAGCATTTATATACATACATCATCATTTTCGGTAATTCAGATCTCTTTTGCAATCTTTTCCCATGTTTTCGTTCATTAGTTTCGGATGTGTTTCAGAAGGCTTATGAGTAAAATCATTATGAGAGAAACCCCATGAGAGATGTATATCTGACGGGTGTCACTCACGAAGTAGTATTATGAAATGAGCCAATGGCCGGCAGCAGAGGAGCAAAACTTCTTAGAAGCCCTGGACAAAGTAGTAAAATTTTTGTCTCCGAAGGCAAGTGAATTATTCATGGTTATGCTGATGAGTAAGATATCATTAGTCAGGTCCACGGTACCCTGCCTAGTACTGTACCTATTAGTTATTAAAAGTAACGGACCAATCCGGTAGCCGCCAACTGGACTCTCTGGCTGGAACCATCGGGCGGGTCGAATCTTCTAATCCCTCGCTGTCAAACTGGTCCGTCTTTCCTTTCGAACGACCGTTCCCGAATTTCCTCCAGGGCTTGCGACGCTGGCATTGAATTGTCGAGGATTAGCAGGGCTTTTGTTTTTGTTCGAATCTTCTGTCCGGCTCACGCCTACGTTCGTTTCAAGTCCAATTACCCATTGCTCGGTTTCGGTTCCGCGCTCTACCGCAGCCAGCCCTTGAGTCGAGTTCCCTTACTACTACCCTTTTCCTTCCCCGGGCGATCGCAGGTCCCCCCCCTTCTCCGTATCGCATCATCAACTCTGACCTGTCCACGTCAACCCATCGGGCTTGTACCTGGCTTGGAAGTTGATTTACGATCGGGGCTCGCGTCAAGTTTCCTCTTCCTCGTCGCGGGAATAGTCTCTTTCTTCACTTCGTTCGCCTGTCATCTCGTCGATCAGAGAGCGATTCAACGGTCTCCTTGGATTTGTGTCTCAGCGATAGGTAAATCACGAGAAATCGTCGCCTGTTGTGAGCACCGGCGATTTCCTGATAAGTGAAGCGAGGCAAATCACGGGTTGGCTCGCGTTCAACTTCAGCGACCTTTTCTCCTTTACAAACATGTTGCTCCCCAAGGGTGGTGTAACGTGGAAGTCGGCCAAAGCCAGGCTGCCTCCATGGCGGGCTGTCCTGTTCATGGTCACGAGAACTAGATTCCTAGTATCACTGGCCGTGACTGGCTTGATGGTCCTTCTATGGCGTGGTATCAGCAGGTCGGCTTCAGAAATGCAAAGGTGAGTCCCCTCTCTCATCGATCGCGCAGGTCGCCATACAATGACTCCCTATCGTGAGTTCAAGACACGGAAAGAGTTAACACCGACGACTGCATGCAGTTTCTATTGCTACGGCCCTCCGAAATCGCCAATGGATATGTCCATCAATGAAATGGTCGAATGGAACGCACATCTTCAGACCCCTGTGGTCTTCAATCACCACGATGCCTACGAAGTAAACTCATCCAATATCAAGCACGTCGACCTCAATCCCATCAAGTCGACCCAACAGGCCGTCGCGAACGCTGAGCGAGTACTTATCCTGACGCCACTAAGAGATGCCTCGGCTCATCTGATCAACTACTTCGACCTTCTCTACAAGTTGACGTACCCCCACGATCTCATCGATCTGGCATTCCTCGTTGGCGATAGCAAAGATGACACCATGGCTGTTCTTACCGCAGAGTTGGCTCGTATTCAGTCTCAGACCGATGAGAAAATCGCTTTCCGCAGTGCTACAATTGTGGAGAAGGATTTCCATAGCGATTTCCAGATGAATGTCGAAGACAGGCATTCATTTGCTGCTCAGGGACCGCGTCGCAAGGCTATCGGCAGAGCTCGGAACTACCTACTCTACTCTGCTCTCAAGCCTGACCACTCATGGGTCTATTGGCGAGATGTCGACATTTCTGACAGCCCACCCAGTATCATTGAGGACTTCGTCGCTCACGACAGAGACATTCTCGTGCCCAGTATGTTATTACCTTCAGACATGTACCCTAGGAGCTTCATACTAATCATCATCGCAGACATCTGGTTCCACCGCTACAGGGATGGCCGCGATATTGAGGGTCGCTGTATGTACCATACCAACAAATCAACCTATTGACTCTGTTTGCTGACTCTTGCAGTTGACTACAACTCGTGGATCGAATCCGACAAGGGACGTCGTCTTCGCGAGACGCTCGATCCGGATACTGTTTTGGCCGAAGGTTACAAGGAGTATGATACTGGCCGACAATACCTCGTTGGCATGGGTGACTGGAGGAATAACAAGGATGAGGAAGTCGAGCTGGACGGCATTGGCGGAGTCAACATCCTCGTCAAGGCTGACGTTCATCGGTCTGGTATCAACTTCCCTGCTTACGCCTTCGAGAACCAGGCCGAAACCGAAGGATTCGCCCGCATGGCAAAGCGTGCTGGGTACGGCGTCTATGGACTACCCAACTATGTCGTCTGGCATATCGATACCGAAGAGAAAGGTGGTAACCTTGGGGGCCGCAAAGCCTATTAGCTGCATTTACGGGTTGATCCTATCTTTCATGCAGTTTGAGTGAAGCGACCATCTTCATTCCTTGTTACCAAAACTCGAAATACCCTTTTTTCCCTGTGTACATCTGAGCCGTTATGATGGTCATCTATGTGGAGGCTCACCTATTACGTCTTTTTTATTTCAACCTTTGTGTTCTTTTCTTTTTTACTTTCTCTTTGCATCTGTTCTATTTGCCTGAATGCATGCTACGGACACTGAGACGGATATCTCACAACTCCGGTAACTTTTCTTTTCTTGTCTCTTTCTTTTTGTGTGTGTGTGTGTGTGTGTGTGTGTGTGTGTGTGTGTGTGTGTGTGTGTGTGTGTATGAGAGAGAGAGAGAGTTTGTGATCCAGGGTTGTGTCTGGCTTTGTTGGCGCTACAGGGACAGTGTTTAGGTATATTGGAGAACACCCATAGAGCGCCGGTTGACTGAGCTCTGATTATGGCTTGCTATGTTCTTTCTTGCGGTTAAGATACTAGTGACGAGCATCTTCTCGCCCAGCGGCTGGTGCTCTATGCCGATGCGCATTGCACTCTACGCTCTATCTCGATTACTGGATCAGAGCGGCAGTGTCATCAAGTAAGAGGTGCACCCCCATGTCCATGTACATATGTCGTACAGAGTAGAGTAGTAGTTCGAGCAATAACAACTCGCTATGATGGTATCATTGATAAGCATGAGCCCCGCTTCCAAGGTGATCACTGCGTCAAGACAGCTGTGAGACATTGGGGAGAGGGGGTTAGACTAAATCCCAGTGACACCAAAACCGGATAAGTCTTGCGCCCTCAGCTCCGTCTCCCCCGCCACCACCCACTTAACTCAGCCAGCCTCCCCGCCCTCCGCTTTCGCTTTCCCCTCAGCCAACGCCATCTATTTCTTCTACTTCTAACTGTAGTTTCTCTATTGAGTTTGGCGCTGCTACTCCTTTTCCTCTCCATTTCTCCCCTGTCACTACTACTGCTGCTGCTGCTATACCATCTTAACTCAACTGTTCAGCAAAATGTCTGCCAAGAACGAGTTCCTTTGCATCCTCCCGGACAAGCCCGACGCATTGGCCAGAAGACTGGAAGTGCGCGCGTAAGATCGACTCCTTCAACCGTTTGCCGCTGGCGCAGAGCTGAAAATGAATCAGACAACATCTTGCAAATGTCACCCCTCTTGTTGAGTCCGGAAAGGTTGTCCTGGGCGGTATGTCCCAAGCAAATCATCCTCCCAAACAACAACATCGGCTAAATCAATGGAATGCGGATAGGAGCCATGCTCGACCAGCACCCGAAACCAGACGACTCCGTCTCCTTCAAGGGCAGTGTTATGATATACGTCGCAGAGAGCAAGGAGGAGGTCGAAGAGTTGGTGAAGAATGATATTTACACCAAGTCTGATGTATGGGACCTAGAGAAGGCTCAAATCATTCCGGTAAGGTCACCATCTACTTGTCTTTTCTTTGCGCACGTGCTGACATACTTCGCCATACTTCAGTTCAAGTCTGCTGCTCGCTTGGCTTTGTAGATCTCTCTCCCATAGTTGACGAATGCAATGACATCGTTGATCCCCGTGACAATATGTTGAATGGTTCCTTTTGACGGATTGTAGTATACCACTGAAACCCTTTGTGCATGACAGCTGATAAATTTTTAGGTTCGAATCGACATACTCGAGTCGCGCTTCTCCACAACCCTCCCGTGGTAGTTAGGCCACCTTATTCTACGCTTCCCACGATCATTGCCAGGTTTTCCTCCGAGATGACTGCTAAGTGGCTTCCATCCCCAGGACTCCTTGCACGCCTTGAATCCATTGCTATTGCTATGCATAGTCGAGGGGCTATCCGCATTTGCATGCATTAACCGCTACGCCCCTCTCTCCTCTTTAGGAAGTCACTGTACACGCGGCACTTGCTCTGTCGTGACAATTGTCGCTGAATGCTGGTTTCCTGGATGTGACTTGTGCTCGAATGCTCTAGCTCTTGCTCAGCTGCGAGCTATCTAGTCGCCAAGACTGAACTGCATGGATGATGAAACGGTCGATGAGGGTTTTCTCGTCGTGCCTTTCATCATTCGACGAAACATGCGCAGTCGAGTCTTGGCACATATACTCCGATGCAATACTACCCTGGGTCACCGACTCGTCATTGCATGTACAATGATCGACGCTGTTGCTTTTGCGTTGTGTCATCAAATCGAAGCCCACTGGAATTTGAGCTTGCTGAGGATTTGACACCTAGCATTTACTTCGGGGGTCCTGGGTCGGGTGATGCAAACACAGGAGGGATGAGTTCGAAGCTGATATCTTGAATTAGTCATGTGTAGTAAGACTGGTGGAACGGTGACGTTGTTATCACATTTTGAACCAAGTGAACCGTTACAAGGGTTAGTATAAAGTGCAGGGTCAACCGCCCTTGCGGGTATCCATTACGGAATCTGATAATGTAGATCGTTTTGATATTGCATGAACCGGATCTGACACGACTCCGTGTGGTATGTACCGGTCTATGGATTTGCGCTCTCACGTCACGCACATGTGCCATCATGTTCCAGTATTTAGCCATGAGGAGATAACAACAGCAACCACGACAACCGAAATAACAACACAGAAAACGCTCTCCGCAAGGTTCAGATCGTTCACTATCTGCCTTCGACAGCCTAGATACATCTAGGACGCTAATATACTGATACTCTCCATACCGTCAGCCATGCCCTCCAATGAATCTCTTTCCCAGCCTGCGGGCGGCAACGGCACCAACGCCGTCCTCCGCCGCGTCAACCCGAACTATACTGGCTACGACTATGTAAGCTGGTACGTCGGCAACGCCCGCCAAACGGCGACATACTTCGTCGCCCACTTCGGCTTCAGCATCGTCGCCTACCGCGGTCCCGAGACGGGCTCCTATCTCTCGTGCTCGTACGTCGTGGCCAACGGCGCCGCCCGATTCGTCTTTACCGCCCCCATCGTGGCCGCGGACAACGCCGCCGAACAGCGGGGCTCGGACGAGGATCGCCGGCTGCTCGACGAGCTCCAGACGCACTTGAACAAACACGGGGACGGGGTCAAGGACATCGCCTTCCAGGTCGACGACGTGACGGGCGTCTGGGAGCACGCCGTCCAGAATGGAGGGGCCGTCTCGCTCCAGGAGCCCACGACCCTGACCGACGAGGTCGATGGCGAGATCCTCCGGGCCACGATCAAGACATTTGGCGACACGGCGCACACGCTCATCAACCGCTCCGGCTACCGGGGCGTCTTTCTTCCCGGATACGCAGCCGTGTCGGGCCTCGACCGCTTGAACGACCTGCTGCCGCCGGTCGATGTCATTGAGATTGACCACTGCGTGGGCAACCAACCGTGGGACGGGTTGGACACCATTGTCAAGTTGTAAGTGCTTCGTCCTCTACGTCTGCACAATACGTACGTGGGCTGACTACAGCCTCTTCTGGCGCCAGCTATGAGGACGCGTTGAACTTCCACCGCTACTGGACCGTCGACGACAAGGAAATGTGTTCCGAGTTCTCGGCAATGCGCTCTGTTGTCGTGGCCTCGCCGGACGAGGTGATCAAGATGCCGATGAATGAGCCGGCTGTTGGGCTCAAGAAATCCCAGATCGAAGAGTAAGCTTCTTGTCTCCTTCTGAGTGGGGGTTTTCATTTATCTACACAAGCCACTCTCTCTCCCCACCCACCTCCCGGGTCCTCCCAAACCCCCCCCTCCACTTCCCATTCAAGCACAAAACCCACGTATCCAAAAGAAGGACCGATAGACCCACTCCCTGACCACATCCGACAGATTCGTCGACTACTACAACGGCGCCGGCTGCCAGCACATCGCCTTCCGCACAGCCAACATCATCGCCGCCGTCGAGAACCTCGGCCAGCGCGGCGTCAACTTCCTCACCGTGCCGGCCAACTACTACACGACCATGAAGAAGCGGCTCGCCGCGAGCAGCCTCAGCATCGCCGAGGACATCGACACCCTGCAGAGGTACAACATCCTCATCGATTTCGACGAGGGCGGCTACCTGCTGCAGATCTTCACCAAGCATGTGGTCGACCGCCCCACGGTGTTCATCGAGATCATCCAGCGGGAGAATTTCGATGGGTTCGGGGCGGGCAATTTTCGGAGTTTGTTCGAGGCGTTTGAGCGCGATCAGGCTGCTAGAGGGAACTTGTAGCGTGCGGTCGGATGGGGTGGGTTCATGTGTTGGTTTAACTGGGGGGAAGGGGGAGGGGTGTTTTGGGAGCTGGAGCGTCGTTCTTGGGTTTGGATTGTTTGGGTGATTGGGTTCTTGTTTGTCTGTTGCTTTGGCTTTTGAGATGTTTGGGAAAGATCAGATTGCGGGTTTGTGCACGAAGAGAGTGTGCTCTATTCAAGCTTATACTGGGGCTACTGGGGCTACAGGGCTACAGGGCTACAGGGCCACATGGCCAGGGGTTTTGGTTTCTCTGAGCCGTGATGAGACACGAGATGCGTACAGGTGATAGAATAAGTAACGATAGTGGCCTTTAGCTTTAGGACAGCGATGATAATAACAGCAAGATATCTATCTATAGTGCAAACATCCGCCCTACTCTTTTCAAATGTTGCGTGAGCAAGATCTATATTCTAGGCATTCCCAAACCTTACGAGACTACAGCTTGGCCTTGACCTTCAGCATCGCCTCGGCCACCTTGCGCCGCTGGATCTTTCCCGTAGCTGTCTTGGGAATCTGCGGGACAAGCCAAATCTGTGGAAACCATGCGTGTTAGCAGCAGCCATTTCGGTGCCAAAAAACCAGACAGCAGCGACAGACATACCTTCTTTGGCGTCTTGAACTTGGCCAACTTCGACTCCACCCAGGCCTTGAGTTCGGCCTCGGTGGCACTCGCACCGTGCTTCACCACCACCGCCGCCCCGATCTCCTCGCCGTAGTGACCCTCATCCGGGATGGCGAAGCACACCGCCTCCGCCACCTTGGGGTGGTGGAGGAGGGTGTTGTCCAGCTCGATGGGACTGATCTTCTCGCCGCCCTTGTTGATCAGCTCCTTGATGCGGCCCGTGATGATCACGTACCCGTCCGCGTCCTGCTTGCCCTGGTCGCCGGTGCGGAAGAAGCCGTCCTCGGTGAAGGACGACCGGTTGGCTTCCGGGTTGTTCAGGTACCCCTTGGTGACATTCTCCCCGCGCACGCAGATCTCCGCCTCCTGGCCCTGGGCCACTTCCTTGCCGGCCGCGTCCAGGATCCGCACTTCCACCCCCTGGCCGAGACCCACGCTGCCGGGCTGACGCTTCGCGGGGGGTAGGGGGTTGCTGGTCATCTGGTGCGCGGCCTCCGTCATGGCGTAGGCTTCGAGCACCGGGGCGTTCAACGCTTTCTCGAGGTCCTGGAAGGTCTTGGGCGAGAGCGGGGAGGAGCATGACCGGATGAAGCGGATGGCCGGGATGGGGTTGGGTAAGGGGGTCTTCAGGAGGATCTGGTGGATCGTGGGCACCGCGGAGTACCAGTTCGCCTGGTAGGTGATGAAGTCGGACCAGAACTCCGACGCCGAGAATCGCGCGGGAACGATCACCGAGCCCCCGGAGTACAGAGGCGCCAGGAATGCGGCTAGCAGACCGTGGACGTGGAAGAGGGGCATCACCAGGTAAGTCCGGTCTGCTGGGGTGAGGTTGTATGTCGCTTTGATGTTGCCTGTGCGGGGATTGGTCAGATCGGGGGGGGGGGGGGGGTTTCTTTTGGAGGATATGCTGGGGCAAGGACTGGATGCTTACGCATTGTGGTGGTCAGGTTCTTGTGTGTGAGCGGGACCTGATTGTGAGAGTGGTTAGTAGATGATACCGAAAAAAAAATCGGACCTGATCACAGGGAACAGAGCATGAGACGTACAGCCTTGGGCCTGCCAGTGGTTCCGCTCGTGTGCAAGACGAGAGCAACATCATCGGGTTGAGCTTGTTGGACACTGACGCCTCCATTGCCAGACAGCTTGCCCTGTTCCTTCACATCGAGCACGATCTCGGCACCGTTCCAGTAGCACTCGGCGATCGCGGCATTGTACTTCCTCCCCGCGCGAACGGCGGGACCTTCCTTCGCATAGGAACCCTGGGGGATCAAGACGAGGGTGGAGCTGAGATCGTCGATGTAGAACTCGAACTCCTCCTGCTTATAGGCCGGGTTGAGCGGCGCAGCGATCGCCCGCTGCCACGAGGCGGCCAGAAATGCCACGATGAACTCGTACGAGTTGGTCAGCGCCAGGGACACGGCGGCGCCATGTCCGACCCCAAGCTTGGCTAACTTGGCCTGGAAGTCGGCGATATGCTTGTGCAACTGCTGATAGGTGATCGCCAGAGGATGGGTTTTATTGGGCACTAGGATGGCGATATCCGCACTATCGGAGGAGAATGACCGCGCCAATGTTGCCATGGCGAGTAGTGTGCTGCACGAGGGTTACACTTGGGTCTTGGCTGTCTGGGATGTTTGGGAGAATCGATGGGGTACTTCAAATGAGTATTGCGATGATGGTGATTTCAATAGCACAATAGCACAATGGCACAATGGCACAGTGACACAGTGGAACTCTTTTGCATCAAATGTTTTCTTCACTGTCAAGAACAACGCAGAGTTGCAGGCAATCATGCCAGCCAGGCAATTGCATCATGACCTTAACCGGTACCTAATGTAGGCATCTCCCAATCCCTACATAGTTAGTGCCAGTACGGGCCGGATACTTTGTTCCGTTCCAGTTCCACTCCGCTTTAGGGCTGGGCTGGGCTCACTTGGCCTCGGGATTTCCTAATTCAACTCTGGGGCTCCAGTTCACAACTAGTCACGTGATCGAATCCTTGTTCTGCTGGCTTGGCGGGCGGTGAAGACCTGCTGTTGATATACTGCCGTCTGGACGGTGTGGAAGGCGGTGGAGTGTAGCGGCCACCGCCTCGCCGGAACTGCCGCTTCTCATTATCATCAAACCTCAGACGAGTCTATGAGAGTCGTCGGGGATTTGCGTCATCTAAGCTTAGCGGACTTGTCTGTTATGACCACACCACCTTTGAATCTAGAACACGTTATTATCGCTGAATGGACTTAGCCGCCATTCGTCATGAGCTCCGATCCCGCCCCTCCTAAGCCTGGAGGCCTGTCACTATATGCCAATCTGCTGGACCCCTCCGCGGATAACTCTCCCGGAACGATTTCTCGCGCGCCTGTTGTGTTCAGACAGGGCGCTGAGGCCGAGGCCCAATCCGATGATCCAGCTGCTAAAAAGCAGCAGCTCAGTGCCGGTAGACTCATGCCCTTCTCTTTTGAGCGAACTTTGTCGTCTCTTTGATCGATCTGATTGCTCACTTGTCCGCCCGGTGATTCATGTCGGTGGCACTCAGCTTCTCTCCGATTTCAACCTACCAGAAGACCTCAACTCGCGACTCAGAAACCCAAGCCGAAGCCCACACTGCCTAAAGCTCCAATTACTGCCACGCCGGCCGCTGCATCAGTCAAAACCACCCTTGCAGACTGGGCGGCTACCGAAGATGACGATGTCAACGGGTTCTATGCTGGACCGAAGAGGCAGCGCGGAGGTCGCAAGAAGCGCAAGAAGAACCGGGAAGTGCAAGAATTCATACAGAACTGGGATGATATCTACGATCCGTCTCGGCCAAACAATTATGAGGAATACAAGCATAGCGACGAGCAGATAGCTGAGATTCGAGAGTGGAAAGACCGTCTATATGCACATCGCATGGCAAGATCGCCCAGTAGGGAGTCATACAGTGACGATGATGACTATGCACGGCCAAGGAACCGTAAGCTCACACTATTGGCATGACGAGAATGTTCAGTTGCTCACCATAGGATTCCAGGTCAATTCGCGCCCCCTGGCAGTTTCGCACCGCCCCCGGGCCTGAACGATGCTCCTCCCAGGCCACCTGTGGAATCACCATCCACTGAAGAACGAACCGAAACTCCGGATGATGTGTCGATGGGAGGGATTCCCCCGCCCCCACCGCCAGACGAGCCACCATCCCATGTTCCCGACGACCCCACAGGCGAGGATGCTTATCTGCGAAGGCTCCAGATGTCGACGGCAGGGAGCTCAGCAGTGCCCCCTCCACCACCTCCGCCACGGCCTCTGGATGAATTGCAGCCAGCTTCTGCGACCATATCTCGCGCTCCGGTTCGATACACATTACCACCTCCTCCTGAGGACATACCTGCCTCGGAAGCAGAGCTTGAAGAAGTGTTCGCCAAGGAGCAACCGGTTGATGATGAGCCAGGAGACGATGGTCAGCGCTCCCTAAGACCGGGCCAGAAGGGCTTTGCCGAACGACTCATGGCGAAGTATGGCTGGACAAAGGGCTCGGGCCTTGGTGCCACAGGGTCCGGAATTGTCAAGCCACTGCAGGTCAAAGTTGAAAAACAGAAGAAACGGCCGGACTCAGAAGGGGGTGGCTTTGTGACGCCCGCTGGACGGGGTAAGGTCATTGGCGGTGCGCGGAAGAACGAGGAAGAAGGCAAATTCGGCCCAATGAGTGAAGTAATCGTTCTCAAGGGCATGCTTGATGGGATGGATCTTGAGGCTGAATTGGCTGGCGACGGAGAAAGCGGTGGTCTCATGCAGGAGATTGGAGAAGAATGCTCCGACAAGGTCAGTGATTATACGAGAACCCCTGACGATTGCCGTATCTAACTTGCGAGCAGTACGGCCGTGTCGAGCGAGTTTACATCCCACGAGATTCGATGAAGCCCCCTGTTCCAGTGTTTGTGAAATTCACCAATCAGCTTTCGGCGCTGCGGGTAAGGCAATACCCAGTCATGTCACTCATCAGTTACTGACCAGTGTACTAATGAGGCTTGTAGGCGGTTAATGCTCTCGAGGGCCGAATATTCAATGGAAACGCCATTACTGCGCGGTTCTACGATACACAGAGGTTTGAGGAAGGGGATTATGATGGTCAATAGAAATGGAACCTAGTGATAATCTAGCTATCTTCGAGCGCGAATAATGACGTGACGGAGGAACATATATTACATCTTTCAAGTCTCACGTGTACCCTTATCGAGACTGGTCATGCAAGTCAGAAAGTGATTCTATCGAATAAACCCTCGTCAGAAGGCTCGGACTTCTCAGCGTTCTTTGAGTCCGGAGCAGGCTTGTTGTGTGTTTTGACCTCTCGTTTTCTAGGGAGTGGGATACCAGACTGAACCCTTGGTTTCTTACCCACCTCGTTGCTTGGCTTGACTTCCTGTTTCCTAGGGAGTGGGATGCTAGACTGGCGCTTTGGCTTCTCATCCACTTGGTTGCATATTTTGGCTTCCTGGTTCTTGGGAACTGGAAGACCAGACTGGTACCTTGCTTTCTTATCTACCTCGCCGCGGGCTTTCACTTCCTGACGTCTAGGGGTTGGAATACCGGTGGGACGCCTTGGTTCCTCGATGTCACTGCAGGCTTTAGTTTCCTGACGTTTAGGGACTGGAATCCCCAAGTGACACTTTGGTTCCTTAATGTGGTTGGGAATGTCGACCTCCGCAGTCTCAGGGACGGGATTATCGGCTTGACACTTTGGTTCCTCAGTTTCCCTACCGATGTTGACATCGTGACCCTCAGGGACCGAAACACCGGATTGACACTCTGGTTTCTCCTCAACGGGCTTGCAGATGTCGACCGCTTGACTTTCAGGGACTGGGGTCTCTGGCTCACTGGACGTACGAATTGCTTCATAGTACTCTCTGTAGTATTCCTGGCAGTCGGGACATAGCCCCTTCATTGGGATCCCAGTAGCTTCAGGGTTGGTACATTCATACCCCACTCTCAAGGCTTCATCGCATCTGATATCAAAGTCACGGGACACATCGATGCATGTACACCCAGAAAAGTAATAACGAATCTTATGGCACATCCTGAATGCGTGATCAGAGGTAGACTGCTGGGAAGTGGGTCAATGGTGTATTGTACAGAAGGATAGCCCTCCCCGCTAGATAACAGGTCGACTGATGATGAACTTCCTTGTACCCTGGCTGATATACTGCGGCGTTGAAGTCAGTAGATCGAGCCAAGCGAGGTGACAGGCAGCATGATCAAGCACGCTGCGAGCAAGCCATTTTTACTTAAATAACTAACAGGGCGTATGTGAGACCTAGCTTGAATAATCACAGTCCCCATGGTCAGAGGAGACCTTCCGATAAAGCCTTTGTCACCCATGGCTTGCAGGCCATGGCTTGCAGGCCTTGGGTTATCAGTCTGTTATGGTAGGTTCATTCATAAGGCGACGGGTTCATGCATTGTCTTACTATAACAAAGACAAGTTCGCAATGTAGTCGATGCTCGGGCCAGTAATCAGGCGGGGATTGAGAGACAACTATAGCCCATTCTGTCATGTGATGAGGATGACCTGCAGCAGCCCCCGAGAGTGATTGGCTGTTGGGCGGATCGATAGCCGGTGGGCGAGGCGGGCGACAACTGGTGAGTGCCAGTGCCCACTGCAGTCTCCCAGGCCGGGATGATCTGGAACTTCCGTTGTGCACATCCATTCACATTCACTAGGCCTAAACTACCACTAGGTAACCTACACCCCGTGGACTTTCCCGTCCATTCATATAACACATCTGTGTTCTTTTCTTCTCTCTTTCCTTCTATCCCTCCTCATCTCTGCACCTAGCTAATTCCTGGTTATCTCTTTCCAGCGTCAGTCATCTATCCTCCCACTTTCAGCTTCCAAGTTTCCCCACCCACGTGAATTGCGTATATTCGACATGTCGCTCTGCATAAACCGCCTTACAGAAGAAAGGTGAGGGTTTCTGTCTCCTCCATGGATGCGCCATGGTATAGTCAGGCTAGTGCGCTAACTTCTGATATTGCGCCCCCCACATGAAGAAAGCAGTGGCGTCGAGACCACCCTTTCGGATTCTACGCGAGGCCCCATCGCAACCCTCAAGGTGCGCTCGACCTCAAGAGATGGGAGTGCGGTATCCCTGGAAAGGCGCAAACCTTATGGGAGGGTGGGCTTTTCAAGCTCGACGTTACGTTTCCAGATGGTGAGTTCAACTTCTCTGTCATCAGCTTTTTTCCTTTGTGCGACAGGCCATAACTGATCGCTGGCCCGCTACGCAGAATATCCGACTAAGCCACCTAAATGTAAGTGCATCCCTGCTGACAACAAAAATCAATCCCATGCGACTTTGAAAGTCTTGCGCCAACCTCACGATATCGCGCGCCAGAAACTAATATGGTTTTCATTACCCGCAGGCAAATTCGTCCCTCCGCTCTTCCACCCGAACGTCTACCCCTCCGGCACCGTCTGCCTTTCGATATTGAACGAAGAGGAGGCATGGAAACCTGCCATCACCATCAAACAGATTCTTCTGGGCATTCAAGACCTACTGAACGACCCGAACCCGGAGTCACCCGCCCAGGCTGAGGCATACAATCTGTTCAAGAAGGATCGACCGGCGTATGAGCGACGTGTCAAGCAAGTGGTCAAGGAAAATCCGGCCCTTTGAATGTCATTCATGCATACAGTGAACAATGCTATCGCTTGGTACATTCTAGATTCTAAACACACAAACACACACTCGACTACTGTTGTCGCGACAACCAGACCTTGGTCTACGCGCGGATGCAGCTTTCGGCGATTTCCTGCATATGTGGCAAACGAACGGATCGCCGCGGACTTCGTCGTCTCTTTCTCCGACGCGAAATGACAATCTTCACCGAGAGATTCGTGCAACAGAATGGTGATTGATATCTGGATCCAGGAACTCTTCCGATCAGCGACTACATGGCGTCTTATGTCCTCGAAACGTTTTGCATGTTGTTTCTCCTTTCAAATCTGCCGGCTGATTTATTTTATGTATTCCCCATATTGGCCAGTCTGTTTAATTTTTTTTTTCTTAGCGAGAAGCATGGCGTCTCAAAATCAACAATATTGTGGTGGCCATGCATGGCTTCATTGAGAGAGCAAGAAAATCCGACCGAGGTCGTTCCGCACTGGCCGGGTTGGTGTTCTCCGTTCATTCTTGGCACACCTTCTAGATCGCAACCGATTTCGTCCGCAAGGAGACAGAACAGAGATTGGAATTTGGCACATTGGCACATTGTCAATTTGTCCGCTCATCCGGGGCAATTGCCTGAATGTCCTGGATGGGCTCCCCCATGCATTAGGATTTACCTACCTTCCATAGTACCAGTAGTGTTGATTGCGACCTGTAGTTACCTTCCAGACGTCACGAAGATCAATTAAACCAATGAGAACCGGGGAGAAAGGTCCGACGTCCGAGACGGGCCACGGTTATCTTATCGGGTGAGTCAGTCCAATTACTTGTGGCCGAAATCGCCCCTCGTTCCGCCCCGCCGGGAACGGGTTGCTCGTTCTCATATTTTAAATTCACCTGCTTCCTCTTTCTCCCCCAGACGGTTCCTTTCAACGTTTGGTCAATTGCTCCAGGAATATTTGCTGCCTGAATCTTTGAGTGCTTTCTCAATTGATTGTCGCCAGCATGTGTGGTATCTTCGCGTGTCACCAGTACGTCTCTTTATGCCGGTGGCCATGCCACATTCCTTGTCCTCCAATTTTCTTGACCTGCGACATCGCTTGGGTTGAGTCAACCACTGACCATGTCCACACAGTCACCCCGATGTGCAGGCATTCAAGCCTACGGCCTTGCGCATGGCCAAGGTGTAAGTCAATCAATCACCTTCCTCTCTTCTCTCGCCTGCGTGATGTTCATCTTTCGCTGATTGTTGTTTCTAGCTTGCGCCACCGCGGTCCCGATTGGAGTGAGTCATAGTGCTTTCAAGTGTGACCGACAGCAGTAGCATTTTCTGACCCAGGAATAGGCGGAAGCTGGATCTCTGACAGCACCAGTGAGTTGAGCACAACCGCGTCTATTCCTCATAGCAAACACTAAGTGAATTATAGTCCTCACCCATGAGCGTTTGTGTATCGTCGGTGTCGGTACGTGCTTCATCGCCCACCCGTTCTTCGGACCACCTAACAAGGAAACCTTTTTCAAGACTCCGGCGCTCAGCCCCTTGTCAACGATGATGGCTCTCTCGCCCTAGCTGTCAACGGCGAGATTTACAACCACCGTATTCTGAGAAAGAACCTCAATGCCGACTACCAGTTCAAGACACACTCTGACTGTGAAGTTGTTATCCCACTGGTAGGTGTGACGAAATCCGGGAAAATTTGCTCCCGTGTCAGATCAGGAGCTAATCAATTCCCCAGTACATGGAATATGGCCTGGACGCCCCCAAGCACCTCGACGGCATGTTCTCGTTCGTGCTTTATGACAAGAAGCAAGACAGGGTTATCGCTGCACGTGACCCCATTGGTGTGACCAGCTTCTACATCGGCTGGTCGTCCGAGACCCCCGGTGCTGTGTACTTCGCCTCCGAGCTGAAGTCTCTGCACCCCGTCTGCGACAAGATCCAGGCTTTCCCCCCCGGCCATGTCTTCGATTCCAAGACCGGCGAGTTCACCCGCTACTTCCAGCCCAAGTGGTGGGACGCTGCCAACGTCCCCACCACCCCTATCGACTACAAGGTCATTCGCAAGTCTTTGGAGAAGTCTGTCCGCAAGCGTCTCATGGCTGAGGTTCCTTACGGTGTTCTTCTGTCCGGTGGTCTTGATTCCAGCTTGGTTGCCTCCATTGCTCAGCGCGAGACCCTGCGCATGCAGGAGGCCGCCCGCACTGCTCAGGCGCAGGGAGTCTCCTCTGACTTGGTTGGTATCGATGACGAGAACGATCTCTCCACTGTCACCACCTTCCAGCAGCTGCACTCCTTCTCCATCGGTCTGCCCGGTGCTCCTGATACCCAGGCTGCCCTCGAGGTTGCCAAGTTCCTTGGAACCAAGCACCACGCCTTCACCTTCACCGTTGAGGACGGTCTCAACGCGCTTTCCGATGTCATCTATCACCTCGAAACCTATGATGTCACCACCATCCGTGCCTCTACCCCTATGTACCTCCTGAGCCGCAAGATCAAGGCTATGGGAGTCAAGATGGTTCTCAGTGGCGAGGGCAGTGATGAGATCTTCGGTGGATACCTGTACTTCCACGCCGCTCCCAACAAGGAGGAATTCCACAAGGAGACTGTCCGACGTGTCAAGAACTTGCACTTGGCTGACTGCTTGAGAGCGAACAAGTCCACCTCCGCCTGGGGTCTGGAAGCCCGTGTTCCTTTCCTCGATAAGGAATTCCTGGAGACTTGCATGGGTGTCGACCCCGCTGAGAAGATGATCACCAAGGAGCGTATTGAGAAGTACATTCTGCGCAAGGCTTTCGACACCACCGACGAGCCTGATGTCGAGCCTTACCTGCCTGACAACATTTTGTGGCGCCAGAAGGAGCAGTTCAGCGATGGTGTCGGCTACAGCTGGATTGATGGCCTCAAGGATCAGGCTGAGCTGCAGATCACGGACGAGATGATGAAGAACCCCAAGCCCGAGTGGGGAACCGACGTCCCCGACACCAAGGAGGCGTATGTTAAGCCTTTTCCTTTCATAGTCTATCAGTGATAAGGACGTGTGAGCTGACTTTTGGAAATTCAGGTACTGGTACCGCTTGATGTTCGATGAGCACTTCCCCCCCACTTGCGCGGGCACCGTCGAACGTTGGGTACCCACATGGTCCAAGCAGACCGACCCTAGTGGAAGGTAAGCAGGAGCTGTAGGAATCGGATGTCAAGCCATGTTCACTGACGAATCTCATCTATCAGAGCCATTTCCACCCACAACGCCAAGTACGACAACGCTGTTTGAACGAATTTATGCGATCCTATGTAATGTCTGTGGGTTCTCAAAGTTTTTGGGTATAGAAGCATGCATGGAGTGATTTTATCCTGGAGTCAGGCATTGGGACGCAAAAGTAGGAATTGCTTTGCTTATCTTCTCAACAAAACGTTTTTGTAAGAATGGACTGGAGCTGTAGCGTTAAGATCCCCAATGTATCTACTTTTGGATAGAGTGTCAAGAAGTTTGATGAGTGCACTCTCAAGATTTCATGGTCAGATTGTAATGCTCAACCACAACGACTGAGAAATCCTTTAGAAGAAAGAACATGGCTGGGTACCTATTAGAGTAATTTTCATTGCAGAGTGCAGGGAAAGCCGAGGCAACAAGAACTGGCAATACATAAGGTAGCAGCTCCGCCAGCTCAGCTTGCAGAAGCGGACAGAAGCAGAAGCCGCAGGAGAAGCACGGCCCCAGGCATCGACATCACGGGACTTAGCGGCTTTTACCGGTGCCCAAGCATCCACCAATCAGGGCGTGGGGTTTCTCCCGTGGCTTCCCCATTGTTTGTCTGCTTTGACGACTCAACGACCTCTTCCTGCCCTGTTTCCCCATCGTTTCCCTTTCCCTTCTTCTCCCCCTCGTCACCTCATCCTTTCCCCCGTCCAACCACCTCCCATAACAAGACCTTCTATTCCTCCACCCACCTCCATTCCACAATGTCTGCTCCTGCTGCTTTCTCTGACATCGCCAAGGCGGCCAACGATGTACGCTTTTCCTTTCAGTCGTTCCGACTTCGAAAGACCTCGGATGACAGTATCTCCTAGAAGGGATTTTCGTGCTAATAAACAGCGCAATAGCTCCTTAACAAGGACTTCTACCACGCCAGCGCCGGTGAGTCCCGCACTGCTTTTCGCGCTCTTTCGAGGACGTGTTTGATGATCTCAAGTGCGCAAATTTGCTGACACCCTGCTTAGCCAGCCTTGAGGTCAAGTCCAAGGCCCCCAATGGCGTCACCTTCAACGTGAAGGGCAAGTCTGCCCACGAGGGTCCCATTGCTGGCTCCGTAAGTTGAACCAAACCGTACCGAAGCACGATGCTTGGATGCTAAACCTCAATTGTGCCAATAGCTCGAGGCCAAGTACGTCGACAAGCCCACCGGTAAAGGCCCCAAATCGCGCAAAAAAAACACGCGAACATCCCTTGCGCAAACCTCCCGACCCTCCACCTTCCAGAGTGCCCGACAACCGGCTCACGCTTATGTTTGCGTGTGGCTATGTCCCGTCTAAGCACCTCTTCGTCTATCTTATGTCAATGAATACCCAGCATGCGGTAGTGCTAATGTTCCGTCCTCGTTCAGGCCTCACCCTCACCCAGGCGTGGACCACTGCCAACGCCCTCGACACCAAGCTCGAGCTCGACAACAACATCGCCAAGGGCCTCAAGGCTGAGATCCTCACCCAGTACCAGCCCGCTAAGCAGTCCAAGGGCGCTAAGCTCAACCTCCACTTCAAGCAGCCCAACCTCCACGCCCGTGCTTTCTTCGACCTCCTCAACGGTCCCTCCGCCAACTTCGACGCTGTTCTCGGCCACGAGGGCTTCCTTGTCGGTGCTGAGGGTGGCTACGACGTCCAGAAGGCCGCCATCACCAAGTACTCCGCTGCCGTCGGCTACAGCGTTCCCCAGTACTCTGCTGCCATCACCGCTGGCAACAACCTGACCGTCTTCTCTGCCAGCTACTACCACCGCGTCAACGAGCAGGTTGAGGCTGGTGCCAAGGCCACCTGGGACTCCAAGACCGGTAACTCCGTTGGCCTCGAGGTCGCCAGCAAGTACCGCCTTGACCCCTCTTCCTTCGCCAAGGTATGTTCCGGATATGAATGTCAAGCGTGATAAGGTCTAACCTGTTCGACTGTGATAATAGGCCAAGATCAACGACCGTGGTGTTGCCGCTCTCGCCTACAATGTTCTCCTCCGCCCTGGTGTCACCCTTGGCCTTGGTGCTTCTTTCGATACCCAGAACCTCAACCAGGCTGCCCACAAGGTTGGCGCCAGCTTCACCTTCGAGGCTTAGAAGAGCTACATAGTTAGCATCAGTCCGCACTCAGAGTCTAGCGTTCGAGTTAGCCGGATACATTGATTTTTGGAAGCCTTTAAGAGTAGAAACTTGATTGCTTTCTTATGGTCTTTGAAGGGGCTATTGGTTCGCGCAGGATTGGTCTTGTGGGTGGGCGTGGGTTCTTATGGATGTCTAGTTAATAATCATGTATCGTATCTACCGACGATAAGTGTATATCAAGTCTACATTTCCCTTTGTTCATTATATGTACATGCTGCATGATATCAATTGATCAAGCCTGTCGTCTGGATCCAATGCCACCAAGGTATCTACCGAACTCCTGTACCATGTGTATCTTTCTACCCGACACATTTGACGATGCCAACCGTGCCCAATACACTCATGCACCCATAAACGTGATTACCCTGTACAAGCACACCTCATCACCTCAATTGATCTTTCTGTTTACTTACTTTCTCACGTGGCCATTGAAACAAGCCCGCCACTGTTGCAGCCCCGACCAAGATCCCACAAACAGCCGCGAATCGCATGGCGGCCCCCCAGGGACTCCCAATGTACTGTTCCTTCAGGGCGGCTTCCATGGCTTTCTGCCTCCGCTCTTTCCGCCGAACATCTTCCGCCGACTGAGTCTTATAGTGACCCCTAGCATTGAAATGATGAACGGTATTCCTATGAATGAACGCCGTCGGATCCTCATCATTAGTGGTAGTGGATGACTGGCCCGCAGCATCACTCCCACCACCACCTGTCGAACTCGGCCCGGGGTTCGTCCTCCCCGTCCGCCCATACCCACCATGCGCGTAGAAACTCGGCGGCGGGCCCCGGAACTGGCCCCGACGATTACTCAGCCCACTGGCGGGGCGGGACCCGGCGTACGAGGCCCCCTTGGTGTGGAGGTTGGCCCCGCCGCCGTGGCTGCTGTAACTGCCCATGGGATGTTGGCCGGCCGTGGCGGTGGACCGCGTGTTCTGGTACTGGGCGTAGATGCCGTGGTCGCGGTCGTAGGCGGCGCGCTTGTTGGGCTGGCTGAGCACGTTGTAGGCGGAGGAGATGCGGGCGAAGCGCGAGGAGGCGGTCGGGTCGTCGCGGTTGCGGTCCGGGTGGTGGCGCATGGAGAGGGTGTAGAATTTTCTGGATTTTTGATTTAGTGTTTTGGGTGGGTAGGGGGGTTATGTGGAGTGGGGGTTTGGGCTTTTGGG